TCTCTCTCTCTCTCTCTTCTCGTCTCTTCTCTCTCTCTCTCTCTCTCTTCTCTCTCTCTCGTCTCAGCCCATCACACACACCACACACTACCAGCTGAGAGTTAGTTAAATAACCTCCTGAATGTGGATCTTAGATGATTTATTTCCAATAGCATTAAAGGAGAGCTAAATAAACCCAAAAACGTCTAAATTAGCCAGCCCATAAAACACGTGAAGTGTCTCGGGGAAACCAAATCAATCAAAATATAAATCCATTTCTGAACTGAACATTTATCCATCCTAGTGCCCATTTAATAATAAGAACATAACGAATCAAATAAACATATGTCTCACTCCTGCCAACATTGTTATTGTATTCTCTGATTGCATTGCTCTCTACACCTCTGTTTTCTGTGTTATACTCATTCGTTTTTACCTATAAACCTTCTTTGGGTTGCTTATCGTGTTGGACAATATCTTTAAGTGAACGTGTCCCCTTTCATTTCCTGAAAGCCATTGGTCTGTTGCATCCGTGTGGTAAAAGCACACCTGATTTAGACCTGTTTGTAGTTCTTCTTTAATGAAACATGAAACCCCTTCCCGTCCTCTCCCTGTTTTCCTCTTCACCCCGCTGCCCCCCCCCCCCCCCACTGCAATCAGATTTCAATTTCATCTACACGGCCTTAGCATTCATTCCCCCTCCTTTATCCTTCGCAGCTTCACTCCTCATCACTCCATCCGTACATTTCCTCACAACACGGAGGAAAAATCCAATTCCAGCGCTAAGTGTGAGAGGAGGGGGGGGGGGGGGGGGGGGGGGGGGGGTAATTTCTGCAGGGACTCTCTGCAGGGTCAGTGTGGGGGAAATGAATCAATATATTAGTGGGAATTCATCAGGTGATGCTTGGATCAATTGTGGTTAACACACACACACACACACACACACACACACACACACACACACACACACACACACACACACACACACACACACACACACACACACACATTGATCAGGGTCCCTTGTGTGCTCATTTAATTATTCATCGAGCCGCTGATGTTGATCTAAGGAGAAAGGATATTATCTGTGATATTTAATAAGACTGTCTCCTATTCCTGTTCATGTCATGTCTTTAAGGTTGACTCTTTTATTCAGGATTAAAGAACGCTGCGATCCTAATATCTGTTTTATTCAGACGTGATCACGACAATGATGTCATGTGTGTGAAATCACTGCAACTGGAGTCATGACTCATGTATCTTTAGTGTAAAGCTGAGATTGAATCAGTGACACCAAAGCACATTGTAAATGTTTCATCATTAAAATGATATCTTTTTATTAAAACCAAACTCTATTCTATTACTTTTCTGAAGGGAATGTTAAATATTTAATGAACTGTATGTTTTTTAGGGTTAATTGAGCATGTCCCTGTTTAATTTCATAGTGTTGTTGCCTCTGCATTAGATGTTTCTGTGTTGGTCCCTGAAGGCAGCATCTCCCTCGTCCAATGGGATTCCTCCGTGTGATTTTGGTGTATGATACTAAAACGTACGCATAGGCTGTTTCCATGTGCAAACTAAAGCATTTACTCGCCTTGTGATTCTGATCCACTTGATGGGGTTTCCTTCACCGGTTTGAAACCTAACGACACATGTAATGAACATTTTGGACGGGTGGTTTTTATGTTATCCTGTTGAGAACGAATTTAAAATGGCATTCAGATGCTTTGCCCCTGCTGCATCTTTAGATAGATAGATATATTCAACGTATTGTCATTACACAGTACAGGTACCATGTAACGAAACGGTTTCTCTGCATTTGACCCATCCTAGTGTTAGGAGCAGTGGGCTGCCATTATGTACAGCGCCCGGGGAGCAGTGTAGGGAACGCTGCAGGTTTAGGAGCGTTCAATCGATATTAAACTTTACCTCATAACATAATCATGAACATTTCCCATTCGTGGCATAGTGTTGCTGCCCTTTAAAAAGTCCCTGAATGCTTTGGGGAGACTTAGGGAGTGCCAACACAGCTTCCTGTTGCTCATTCTCTAACCGACGGTGTCCTTCACAAGCTTTCTTTTATTGTCAGTTTCTTTCTGAGCACAGCTGACCTCCTCTGCCTCTTTCAGGTGTTCTCTCAGTCCTTCACTGCCTCCTATGCTATCTACAATGTGAACACTGGGTAGGTGGAACACTGAATACTAATGCATGGGCTGCACCGGGCATGAGCGTCACTGCAAGCAGACCTTTAGACCTTTTGCAGGGTTGAAAAACGTTCCCTCCTTCATCGAATCAGAGCCTCATGTTTCCGTCAGACATGCATCCATTCCCAGGGTCAGACTTCACTGCCTGAGATTCATGTTCTGCATTAAGTCAGTGGAGACCCCCTGTGGAGGAGGGACTTCCGGAGGAGCTGCAGAGAGAGGACTCTTTAAAGTAGAGACACTACATACTGATATACACCTGAACATCAGCAGGAGAGGACTCTTTAAAGTAGAGACACTACATTCTGATATACACCTGAACATCAGCAGGAGAGGACTCTTTAAAGTAGAGACACTACATACTGATATACACCTGAACATCAGCAGGAGAGGACTCTTTAAAGTAGAGACACTACATACTGAGGACTCTTTGAATTAGAGACACTACATTTCACTGCCTGAGAGTCATGTTCTGCATTAAGTCAGTGGAGACCCCCTGTGGAGGATGGACTTCAGGAGGAGCTGCAGATCATTGCCTGCCCCGGAGGAGAATGTGCAGATGGGAAATGGAAACAGAAATCTCTTGCATGAACCCATTCTCTGTTTTGTCCCTCCCCCCTTCTGCATCGTGCTCTATTTGTCCTGCAGTGGACGGACCTCTGAGGGGTTTTAGCAAGACGCTGGTCCCTAAAGAAGGAGGGGCTAATCTTTGAGTGTGTGTGTGTGTTGCAGAGATCTGCAGGACCTAAACCCTGCGGAGAACGAGAAGGCGGCGCTGCAGTTCGCCTCCTGGGGGCCGCAGGGGAACCAGCTGGTAAACATGACTCTAATACACCTGAAAAGTATCTGAACAGCAGCAACTCTTTGAAGTTATTATCTTACGCTCTAAATTAAAGAGGCCCTATTATACAGTAAGTGTGTGTGCATGTAAATGGTCTGCAAACGCTTAAATCCTGAAGTTCCAGAACACAGTGACATGACTATCAAACACTTGCGTTCCTATTGGCTAGCTCTCCAACACATTGTACTTGAAAAGTGAGAGGAGAGGACTCTTTAAAGTAGATACACTTCATACTGATATACACCTGAACATCAGCAGGAGAGGACTCTTTAAAGTAGAGACACTACATACTGATATACACCTGAACATCAGCAGGAGAGGACTCTTTAAAGTAGAGACACTAGTACATACTGATATACACCTGAACATCAGCAGGAGAGGACTCTTTAAAGTAGAGACACTACATACTGATATACACCTGAACATCAGCAGGAGAGGACTCTTTAAAGTAGAGACACTACATACTGATATACACCTGAACATCAGCAGGAGAGGACTCTTTAAAGTAGAGACACTACATACTGATATACACCTGAACATCAGCAGGAGAGGACTCTTTAAAGTAGAGATGCTACATACTGATATACACCTGAACATCAGCAGGAGAGGACTCTTTAAAGTAGAGACGCTACATACTGATATACACCTGAACATCAGCAGGAGAGGACTCTTTAAAGTAGAGACACTACATACTGATATACACCTGAACATCAGCAGGAGAGGACTCTTTAAAGTAGAGACACTACATACTGATATTCACCTGAACATCAGCAGGAGAGGACTCTTTAAAGTAGAGACACTACATACTGATATACACCTGAACATCAGCAGGAGAGGACTCTTTAAAGTAGAGACGCTACATACTGATATACACCTGAACATCAGCAGGAGAGGACTCTTTAAAGTAGAGACGCTACAGTACATACTGATATACACCTGAACATCAGCAGGAGAGGACTCTTTAAAGTAGAGACGCTACATACTGATATGACACCTGAACATCAGCAGGAGAGGACTCTTTAAAGTAGAGACACTACATACTGATATACACCTGAACATCAGCAGGAGAGGACTCTTTAAAGTAGAGTCACTACATACTGATATACACCTGAACATCAGCAGGAGAGGACTCTTTAAGTAGAGACACTACATACTGATTATACACCTGAACATCACAGAAGAGGACTCTTTAAAGTAGAGACACTACATACTGATATACACCTGAACATCAGCAGGAGAGGACTCTTTAAAGTAGAGACACTACATACTGATATACACCTGAACATCAGCAGGAGAGGACTCTTTAAAGTAGAGACACTACATACTGATATACACCTGAACATCAGCAGGAGAGGACTCTTTAAAGTAGAGACACTACATAATGAGATACACCCTGAACATCAGCAGGAGAGGACTCTTTAAAGTAGAGACACTACATACTGATATACACCTGAACATCAGCAGGAGAGGAACTCTTTAAAGTAGAGACACTACATACTGATATACACCTGAACATCAGCAGGAGAGGACTCTTTAAAGTAGAGACACTACATACTGATATACACCTGAACATCAGCAGGAGAGGACTCTTTAAAGTAGAGACACTACCATACTGATATCACACCTGAACATCAGCAGGAGAGGACTCTTTAAAGTAGAGACACTACATACTTGATATACACCTGAACATCAGCAGGAGAGGACTCTTAAAGTAGAGACACTACATAATGATTATACACCCTGAACATCAGCAGGAGAGGACTCTTTAAAGTAGGACACTACATACTGATATACACCTGAACATCAGCAGGAGAGGACTCTTTAAAGTAGAGACACTACTGTTTCCTTGCCTTGTTTCTGGACTCTTCTTATCTCGGTAAGATAGCGATTCACACTCTTATCTAAGAAATTAGAAAACAAAACAACAATCCCAGAATCCCAGAAACAGATAAGAAAGAAATATCTATTGCATAAGAAATATCAGCATGTGGTTCCTGCTGTGTCATCTTGTACATTATGATAAGAATATATCCGCTACCTTCACAGTGCACATTAACAGACTCATGTTAACGGTTGTGATAATGGTGACGTCAGCAGTGGAGGATCTGCAGATACTGTAATGATCGTGTTTTATACTCATAATATAATTGATATCCCTCCCTCTGATGTAATTGGCTCTTGCAGCTTATTAACTGGAGAGCAAAGATGTGTCGGCTGCTGTTCGCTGATTTATCCGCACGTCCTGTACTGGCAGTTATAAAGCCCCCCCTCCTGTGTGTGTGTGATAATGGATTTCTGTGTGTGTGTGTTCTCCTGCCAGGCCTTCGTGTTTGATGGAGATATTTACTACCAGCCAAGTGTGTCCAGCAGAGCGCTGCGGCTCACCGACTCTGACCCCGAGCAGAACCTGCAGAACGGACTCTCCGACTGGACCTACGAGGGTGAGGGGGTGTGCTGCTAAGATCTGCAAGAGTCTGATAACAATATTCAATATCTTGTTAAGCTTGTGATAACATTTCTAACTGAAAAACCTTCAGATGAGGAAACTAGAAATGCCAAAACACTGACTGATTCAGGATTTTGGGACTCATTCCTGCAAAAAATTAAGAAATGAAACTCAGTTTTTGCCATTATTGCATGAATGGTGAAAAAACACCATTCAGTTACCATCATTTGTGGTGGTAGGTGCAGGTTTCGAGTCTGATAACAGTATGTGTGTGTATCAGAGGAGGTTCTGCTGTCGTACGCGGCTCACTGGTGGTCGATGGACGGAGCTCGGTTAGCGTATCTCACCATCAACAACACGGCCACTCCTGTGATGGAGATTCCCCGATTCTTAGGGGGGCTCTACCCCTCCAACATGCTCTTCCCCTACCCAAAGGTATATATGCAAAACTTCAGACATTGCTGCTGGGGTGCTGGAGTTTATCTGATAAATATCTGACATTGTATTTTTGTTGTTGTGCTCCCAGGCTGGATCCAGCATCCCGTCCGTCGGCCTGTTCGTGGTGAATCTGTACGGCCCGTCTCACACTCTGGAGATGATTCCTCCAGACGCCCTCAGAGCCAGGTACTACAGCGTCATAGACTTTAAGGGTCACCTATTATGCAAAATGTCTCTTCTACATTGTGTTCTTTGTAACCAAGTCTCTCAGAGGGGCGTGGGGAGGGGCTCCTTATTTTTCATCTAAAGTAACAGACAGAGAATCAGCACTTTGGAAACAGGGCTGAAACAGAGGGGATTATGGGTAATGCTGCAATGATCTGTTTGGTATTTCAGCCAATCAGAGACAGGCTCTGGATTTATCTGAGACCTGTGATATATTGATGAAAAACAGTATAATAGGAGACCTTTAAAATAAACATTAAAGGGAACTTTTTGTACCGTTAACTATCACTATACTGAGTCTTAGTTTTATTCAGACTCAGATTCAGATTCAACTTTATTGTCATTACATAGTACATGTACTAGTGACGAAATGTAAGTTAGGCATCTGACCAGAAGTGCAAAATAGCAGTGCGGGATTCTACATAATAAGAATAATTATAAATGGAATAATTATAAATAGGCTATAAACAGATGAATATATACAGTGTAAACGGCATTGACAGTCAAATATATAAACAGGTGGGTGGTGGGTATGGGCTTGAGTCTATCAGGGAGCAGAGTTCAGCAGGGTAACAGCCCTGGGGAAGAAGCTGACCCTGAACCTGCTGGTCTTGGACCGGAGGCTCCTGAGGCGCCTCCCCGAGGGTAGGAAGACAAACAGATAGTTTGCAGGATGATAGGTGTCTTTGAAGATGTTGTGCGCCCTCTGCAAACACCGTATCCCCTGGATGTCCTCGATGGCAGGGAGTGGGACACCGATGATGCGTTGGGCGATTTTTGTCACCCTCTGCAGTGCCTTCCTGTTGAGCATTGTGCAGTCCCCGCACCAGGCTGTGATACAGCTGGTCAGGATGCTCTCAATGGTGCAGCGATAAAAGTTCACCAGAATCTGAGGAGAGAGGTGATCTTTCTTTAGTCTCCTCAGGAAGAAGAGATGCTGGAGAGCCTTCTTTACTAGTGGTGTTGTTGGACCATGAGAGGTCATCGGATATGTGAACCCCCAGGAACTTGAAGCTAGACACACGCTCCACCGCCATTCCATTTATGTGGATGGGAGTGTGTGTGTTGCCTTTCGATTTCCTGATGTCCACAATGAGTTATTTTGTTTTTGTTGTGTTAAGGGCCAGGTTATTGTCGGCACACCACTCAGTCAGATGCTGAACCTCCTCCCTGTAGGCCGTGTCATCGTGATTGTGGATGAGGCCGATCACCGTTGTGTCGTCTGCATACTTGATTATGGTGTTTGAACCATGGACAGGGGTACAGTCGTGGGTGAAGATGGAGTAGAGGAGGGGGCTCAGCACGCAGCCTTGTGGGACACCGGTATTTAGGCTGAGGGTCATGGAACAGAGATTATCCAACCTGACATGCTGGGGTCTGTTGGTTAGAAAGTCTAAAATCCAATTACAAAGGGGGCGCCGATGCCCAGGTCGTTGAGTTTTGTGATTAGTTTGGAGGGGATGACGGTGTTGAAGGCTGAACTGAAGTCGATGAACAGCAATCTTGCATAGGAGTTGGTTTTTTCCAGATGTGACAGGTTGAAAATGTCCGTCATGACCTCAGTCAGTTGCCCAGCACAGGCCCTGAGAACGCGGCCTGGGATGCCATCGGGTCCAGCAGCCTTGCATTCATTAATCCTGCTCAGTGTGGTGAAGACGTCAGAAGGTGAGAGTGTGAGGGGCTGGTGGTCTGCAGGGGGAACAGCCTTAGTGGCTGTCTCCTGATTGTCCCTGTCGAAGCGAGCATAGAAATCATTCAGCTCGTTGAGGAAGGAGACGTCTATTGACGGCAGAGAGGGGTTGGTGGGTTTGTAGTCAGTGATGGCCTGAATGCCCTGCCACATTCTTCGGGGAGTTATTGAAGTGCTCCTCAACCCTCAGTTTGTAGCAGTGCTTGGCCTTCCTAATGCCCTTCTTTTGGTGAGCCCTGGATAAACTGTAAGCCCGTTGGTCACCTGATCTGAAAGCGATGTTTCGTGTTTTCAGTAGTTGGCGAACTTCTTTATTCATCCACGGCTTCTGGTTTGAGTACGTTGTTATCTACTTCAGAGTGGTGACACTGTTGATGGTGGTGCTGATGCGAACACTCAAATGATTTAATTCCCATTTAACCTGTTAAGGGGCTTTCCCCCCCCCGTTTTTTTTCTCACGAAACTGTGTCTCAGGGCTTCTTAAAATGTAATAAACTATTCATGTGTCATACTCATTTAACGGGAATAAACTCAGCTAACTGATGATATGAACCATGTTTACCGAAACAAAACACAAGTCTCACAAGAAGCTAACCTTTTGCTAAATGAGCCCTGAGCGAAAAAATACTAATGCACTCTAGGTATAAATCGATCAATATACTTATCGGATATGCACAAACAAGCTTATGCTAACAAGCTGAGATTCCACAGATTCTAGAAATATAAGTATCATCACTGAGCAATCAGAACTCGTGACAGGGCATGCAAATACAGACATCACACAACGTAGCTTTAGGTAGCAAAACACGGAGATATGCTCACCTTTTGCTGTTATTCTGATCAAAAGTTGTGTTCAATGGCATTAAAACGAGAAAAACGTGGTTGAAGGTTAATCCATAGGTTAATCCAATGTGTCTGTCACTTTGAACAAATTATTGATGATCCATAATTCAATTTTTATGTCAAAAACTGAGTTTTCATATTAGCTGCTAATGATAGCTTCCAGAGTGTATGACAGCTCCCTGTTTTGTCTCCTTGGATACGAGTCAAAACAACACACAGACTGCCTTGGGCCGGGCGCTGAAATTGTAGCCCTTGGACCATCAGATCTGACGACGCTGATTGGCTGAAATTATGTTTCGGCGGCATAGTACTTTTCAGGTAGCAACAGTCAGCACTTACTTACTTACCGCCCAGACGAGAGAGGGTAATGATACACAGGCAACGATTTCTCTGCGGCCAGGCAGGAAACACATGACTTATCAGTAAACTTTAGACATGGTAACACAATTTTAAACGAGATTTTATTGTAGATTATACATTTTTCTGATACCAACCATATAATATGTACCTTGTTTATTGAAAATATATATATATATTTTTTTTTAAATATATATCTTTTTTTTATAATGACAATCTAAAATGTGGGAAGAGGGGGGGCGGCGCCCCTAGCGCCCCTATGGGCCGGACGCCACCGGTTCTTATCACCCTTAAACGGGCCCTATTCATCTTTCCATGTTGTTTCCTCTCTTGTAGTTCTATAGGTTTTAGTGCATGTAAATGGTCTGCAAAGCGTAAAATCCCTGTGTTTCTCTCCAACATGCATTTTGTGTACTTCTGGAGCATAATGACATCACTATGGAACTCTTGCACTCCTATTGGCTAGCGCTCCGACACATACGTAATAGGCGAAGGGGCGGGACTTCTCTAAGCGGTTGACCAATCACAACAGAGCTGGCCAGCTAACAGACATTTTGCAGCTTTTTCTCTGTGATTAAAGCACACACTGAGGAGTTTCTTGCTTTAATCGACAACATTTACCATCAACTCTGAACCACATAGAAGACTTCACCCCCCTCCTCTGCACCTCTTTCTCTAAAATCTCTTTGACTTTCTGCCTCCCCTCCTCAGAGACAGCTACATCTCCATGGTGACGTGGATCAGCAGCACCCGCCTCGCCGTGCGCTTCCTGAACCGCGTCCAGAACCAGTCGGTCCTGTGTGTGTGTGAGGCCACCACCGGAGCCTGCTCAGAGGTCAGGAACACACACTTCAATGGAAGATTCTGTTCCTGATTTAACGCTGGGTTGATTTCCTTTAGCTCTCTGGATTAATATTTAAGGTGATCAGCTCCATGAGCAGAATCCTCTGTGATGTTCTGCAGGGTTTATCGCTCTCTCACTCTCTGTACATCCTCAGGTACACATAGCCGATGTATTATTTTTATAGCTTTAATTATTCATATGCATGATCATGGATGGATCACTGAGGCTTACAGTACAAAGTGCAAAAGGCAAAATGTCCCTTACAAAGATATGGACCAACCAGGAAGATTACAAAGAGTCTCAAAAATACAAATAGTACTGTAGCTTAAAAAGGCAAAAAATAGCTACCAAAAGGCAAACAAATATATATGGCAATAAAACGCCTAAAAAAGACACAAAATGCCTTAAAAAGACGAAAATGGCAAAATTATCACAAATACACGCAAAATGACTTCTAAGACTACAAAGAGACAACAAAGAGGAAGAAGATCTATGAGTCAGTCATTAACGTCTGTGTTGTTGCTCCCGTGTAGAGTTACATTGTCTCATTATCCACTCAAACACATAATCATATTGATTTAGACACTGCTTCTTAATGAACTCCTGTTCGGTTAATGCTGTGACATTTCTCTGCATTGTGTGATTCCTACTTAGAAACACAAAATGGCCATGGACCTAATGCAGAACCAGCGACAGGTATGTGTCATTTTTTTCAGTATTTTTCTTATTTTATACATTTTTAAATAATTTTTTTATCAGTGCAATTATTTTTATTTATTGGCCTGATACTTGTCCTTATTTCTGACAATTTTATTTATGTAGCTAACTATTTTTTGCTATTATTATATATTTTTCTTGTTTTTCACTCAGTTTTTATTTATTTTTACCAGATGCCTTTTTCTCAGTATTATCTTTATTTTTGACTCACTACTTTCTTTATTTACTCAGGTAGTTTTTATTATTTGGACGCAATTCTTTCTTGGATTTTGAGTCTGCACTTAAGACTCAGTATCTTTCCTAAAGGGGACCTATCATGCAAAATGCACTTTTTGATGTCTTTTCTCCATCAACATGTGTCCCGGTGTGACGGGGAACTCACGCAGCGTCAGAAAATAAAACCCTCTCTCTTTTCCTCCGTACCCAAATCTCTAAAAACAGGGGAACAACGAGGATACAGATTTACTGCCGATATGACGTCAAATCGGCAGCGGACCCACAGAGAGATGCTATCAGAAACAATGCCTGACGTGTTTTGGACGTAATCTCGTCTTTGTTTACATTAGCCTCGCTAACACTCAGACCTAACCTGTACTGGAGAGCACATGTGTTTAAAAAGCAGGAAATACAAAGGAACTCACCTTGTGATAAACCCGCAAGAGAAAAAGCATTTGAGCTCCATACTGTTTCAGAGATAATCTTTGATGTGGTTTAGAACAGGATGGCGTTTTATCACAGCAGAATTTAGAATTCTGATCAGGCATTAGCTCCGCCTTCTTTTTTTTCTTTTTTTAAGCTAAGGACCCAAAATCCGCGTTTCTCTAACAGGGCTTCAGAAGAGGGGTATGAGCAGAATGAGGGATGGCTTCAACGGGGGATCTGTTTGGTATTTGAAGCAAAAAACGTCACAGACATGTTTTCTATAGGTATGGCCCTACAATATATGTTTCAAATATAGCCTGATAGGTCCCCTTTAAGTTGTTTTCAGTATTTTCTATATTTCTTAATCGGGTCTGTTCTTTATTTTTGACCTGTTGCTTTTCTTTATTTTCGACTACATTTATTTTTTATTTTCTCAAGTATTTTCTTTATTTTTCATTCAGTTCTTGCCATTCTTTGTGTATCAGGTCTTTTATGATCTGTTTCCTCCTCCCCCTGCAGGACGTGCCGTTGTTTTCTTCAGACGCCTCCGTGTTTTACTCGATCCTCCCAGCGAAGCAGGGCGCTCGGGGCGAGTTCCTCCACGTCGCCGCTCTCTCAGCGCAGGTCAGTTTTCAGGTCCGTTAACTTTCACTTCCTCGGGTCAGACTTCAATAACTTCTGACTCGTTAACATTCAGCGGGGTCTCGTTACGCCGTGGGATCACAGATAAAAGCAGCCTCCCTCTCTTCTCTGATGTTCAAGCTGTTTGTTTGCATTGGCTTTCCTCCATCACTCCTAAAGCACCTTATCTGAGGAGTAAATGCACTCATTAGACCTTAATGGCCGAGCTACACGGTTCAATTCACATTCACTTTATCTAATACTCCCCAGTGGAGCTATTTAAGATGTTAATGGTTTTTATTTTATAAAGAAACATAATATCAACACTGTATGACACTGTGTTCATTGTTCATGTTATTATCCATTAAAAAACATTATTAAAAAACGTATTTATTTACTTTCAATTTGATTTCCCCACTTTTTTATTGCATTTATTTTATTTAAAGAAATGTTTTTATTCATTTTTAAACGTTTGAATTTATTTGTGTGTCATTTATTATTTTACCCACTACTACAATTAATGTTAAATGGAAGTAGAAGGTAAAATATATTTGTATGTGTATTTAATTAGCTTTTTATTTATGTTACTTATTTATTTAATTATTTATGGTATTAAACCATTATCTTTATTCCCATTTTTATACACTTTAATGTTTTAATTTTTAATTTATTTTTGCATTTATTTTATATTTATTATGAATAATTTATAAATTGATGTAAGCGTCTTTGAGCATTAGGAAAAGCGCTATAGATCCCATGTATTATGATGTTTATTTGTTCCTTTTTTCAGTTAATTCCCCCCCCCTGTTGTCTCTGTCTCTCAGGCGGCCGTCCCCTCCGTCCCGCCTCGTTTCCTGACGTCCGGCAGCTGGGACGTCTCTTCGCTCTGCGCTCTGGATGAGGAGGCCGGGAAGCTGTGAGTGTGGACACGAGTTCATTAAAGGTCCCCTATTATACTGTTTTTCATCAATATATTACAGCTCTCAGATAAATTCAGAACCTGTCTCTGATTGGCTGAAACACCAAACAGATTATTGCAGCATCCCATAATCCCCTCTGTTTCAGCCCTGTTTCAAAAGTGCTGATTCTCTGTCTGACACGTAACATCCACACGGCTCCGTCGCGTGCTTCAACAGAGACGCTTCCCATTTACTTTGAATGGGGTGACGTCACGCTTTGCCGAACTGCATTGTGGTTCAGTCGTCGCTTTGCCTCCGTTGCTTGCGCTGAAAGTTGAGAAAAGTTAAACTTTTCAAGCTTCGATGGAAGCGCCAGCTAATCAAATCATATGCCAGGACAAGCACTAGCCAATCAAACTGTGTGCTTGTGTGTCCGGGGCGGGAGATTAATGTGATTGGTTGTTGGTCGCACGACAGACACCCCCACCGGCAAACTTCAACGCGACGGAACCGTGTGGACGTACCGTGACTTTAGATGGAAATAAGGAGCCCCTCCCCACGCCCCTCTGAGAGACATTTGGTTACAAAGAACGCAATGGTGCTCTAGGAGGAGATTCAGGTGATAAGGGGGGGGGGGGGGGGTCACCCTTGGTTGCTGATTGGCTATGGCTACACAAGACAAAACATCGTTATGACATCATCAAGTGGCCAAAATCTGAATCAGCTCATTTTCAGACAGGGTTTTTATAGAAATGGATCAAAAAGAGAGAGAATCTTTGTTCCTGAAAGCTTTCAGAGTCATCTTTCCACAGAGGGGACACATGTTGATGTAGAGAGACATGAAGAAGAGGGGACAACACATGTTGATTAGAAGAGACTGCGAAGAGGGGACACATGTTGATGGTAGAAGAGACATGAAGAAGAGGGGACACATGTTGATGTAGAAGAGGACATGAAGACGAGGGGACACATGTTGATGTAGAAGAGACATGAATAAGAGGGGACACATGTTGATGTAGAAGAGACATGAAGAAGAGGGGACACATGTTGATGGTAGAAGAGACATGAAGAAGAGGGGACACTGTTGATGTAGAAAGGACATGAAGAAGAGGGACACATGGTTGATGTAGAAGGAGACATGAAGAGAGGGGACACCATGTTTGATGTAGAGAGACATTGAAGATAAGAGGGGACACATGTTGATGTAGAAGAGACATGAAGAAGAGGGACACATGTTGATGTAGAGAGACATGAAGAAGAGGGGACACATGTTGATGTAGAAGAGACATGAAGAAGAGGGGACACATGTTGATGTAGAAGAGACATGAAGAAGAGGGGACACATGTTGATGTAGAAGAGACATGAAGAAGAGGGGGACACATGTTGATGTAGAAGAGACATGAAGAAGAGGGGACACATGTTGATGTAGAAGAGACATGAAGAAGAGGGGACACATGTTGATGTAGAAGAGACATGAAGAAGAGGGGACACATGTTGATGTAGAAGAGACATGAAGAAGAGGGGGACACATGTTGATTAGAAGAGACATGAAGAAGAGGGGACACATGTTGATGTAGAAGAGACATGAAGAAGAGGGGACACATGTTGATGTAGAAGAGACATGAGAAGAGGGGACACATGTTGATGTAGAAGAGACATGAAGAAGAGGGGACACATGTTGATGTAGAAGAGACAGGAAGAGAGGGACACATGTTTGATGTAGAAGAGACATGAAGAAGAGGGGGGACACATGTTGAATGTAGAAGAGACATGAAGAAGAGGGGACACATGTTGATGTAGAAGAGACATGATAAGAGGGGACACATGTTGATGAGAGGAGACATGAAGAAGAGGGGACACATGTTGATGTAGAAGAGACATGAAGAAGAGGGGACACATGTTGATGTAGAAGAGACATGAAGAAGAGGGGACACATTTGATGTAGAGAGACATGAAGAAGAGGGGACACATGTTGATGTAGAAGAGACATGAAGAAGAGGGGACACATGTTGATGTAGAAGACATGAGAGAAGAGGGGACACATGTTGATGTAGAAGAGACATGAAGAGAGGGGAGCCAATGTTGATGTAGAAGGAGACATGAAGAAGAGAGGGGACACATGTTGATGTAGAAGAGACATGAAGAAAGAGGGGACACATGTTGATGTAGAAGAGACATGAAGAAGAGGGGACACATGTTGATGTAGAAGAGACCATGAAGAAGAGGGGACACATGTTGATGTAGAGAGACATGAAGAAGAGGGGACACATGTTGATGTAGAAGAGACATGAAGAAGAGGGGACACATGTTGATGTAGAAGAGACATGAAGAGAGGGGACACATGTTGATGTAGAAGAGACATGAAGAAGAGGGGACACATGTTGATGTAGAAGAGACATGAAGAAGAGGGGACACATGTTGATGTAGAAGAGACATGAAGAAGATGGGGACACATGTTGATGTAGAAGAGACATGAAGAAGAGGGGACACATGTTGATGAAGAAGAGACATGAAGAAGAGGGGGACACATGTTGATGTAGAAGAGACATGAAGAAGAGGGGACACATGTTGATGTAGAAGAGACATGAAGAAGAGGGGACACATGTTGATGTAGAAGAGACATGAAGAAGAGGGGACACATGTTGATGTAGAAGAGACATGAAGAAGAGGGGGACACATGTTGATGTAGAAGAGACATGAAGAAGAGGGGACACATGTTGATGTAGAAGAGACATGAGAAGGAAGAAGATGGTATTGATTGTAGAAGAGACATGAAGAAGAGGGGACACATGTTGATGTAGAAGAGACATGAGAAGAGGGGGACACATGTTGATGTAGAAGAGACATTGAAGAAGAGGGGGACACATGTTGATGTAGAGGAGACATAAGAAGAGGGGACACATGTTGATGTAGAAGAGACATGAAGAAGAGGGGGACACATGTTGATGTAGAGGAGACATGAAGAAGATGGGACACATGTTGGATGTAGAAGAGACATGAGAAGAGGGGACACATGTTGATGTAGAAGAGACATGAAGAAGAGGGGACACATGTTGATGTAGAGGAGACATGAAGAAGAGGGGACACATGTGATGTAGAGGAGACATGAAGAAGAGGGGACACATGTTGATGTAGAGGAGAGAGGAGACATGAAGAAGAGGGGACACATGTTGATGTAGAAGAGACATGAAGAAGAGGGGACACATGTTGATGTAGAAGAGACATGAAGAAAGAGGGGACACATGTTGATGTAGAAGAGACATGAAGAAGAGGGGACACATGTTGATGTAGAGGAGGACATGAAGAAAGAGGGGACACATGTTGATGTAGAAGAGACATGGAAGAAGAGTCTGTCCTGAGATTATTTTATCTTTGTCTTCAGATATTTCCTGAGTGCAGAGGAGTCCAGACAGAGCCGACACCTCTACAGGTAAACAGTGCCCAACTTCCTCCAGACACAGAACTATAAACACTCACAGTATTGACTTTATCTCTAAGACAGAATAATGTCATTAATGTTTATGTCACTGCACGGCGAAATTAAATAGTTCATTAAACAATCCTGAAGGTGCATTCAGACATAATCAGTCAGTAATAGAAGTAAAGGCGAAGAAGTATTCATCACGTAATTGCATTTCAAAATATACAAAAGAGCAAATAATACGTAAATATACCTTACAAAAAAAGGAGACATTCAGTATTTCAGAGGAGGGTCTGAGATTCAAAGTCTTTCAGCGACTCCTCACAGAACGATCTAAAGTCTTCACTGTCAAGCTTTATTGAACCTCATTTGTTTCCTAAAAGTCAATCGGCTTGTCTCAGATCACTTTACCCAGAAGTCTCTGCAGTTATTGACTCTCTCCTGAAAGAAAATCAAACTACAGACTGTCCTCCTCTGTTAACGGCCTTTAAGCTTTTCCCCTTATCAACTATATAAGGCTCAGTCTCTCTCTCTGTTGGTGTAGTTGTCAAAGAGATAAGAGGTCAAAACGAAATACTGCAGATGCAATTCAATAACAACATGTGATATCCAGTGGCGCCCCAAGACACTCTGGGGACCCCAAGCAGGGACATGACCGTGGTGGGGCAGCGCAACTGAAATGATGAGCTTTTGACGGCGCGCTATGCATGGGGACCCCTTGAGGGGGTTACCCGACATGTCGTTGCAGTAAATTAAAGGGTGTTTCATGTTGTCGTTGCTGTGGACCTTCTTAATCTACCTTCTTTGGGGGCCCCCTTCTGGTCCGGGGCCCCAATCAGTTGCCTGCCTTGCCTGTTCGCAAGGTGCGCCCCTGGTGATATCACAACATATTTCATACGTGTGCCCAAACTAATACACTTCACATAAAATGCACATTTCTGTCTTCAAAATGTAAAAGACTAGATATACTAACTCATTTAAATAAAATAATAAAAACAATACAAATTGCAGAAAGCTAAACTGATTGGGTTTCAATCCATTTCATGATCTGGCACGAAAACCAGGAGAAATCAGTTAGCTTTTAGTTTATTGGGAATATTGTTCCATTCTGTTTTTGCTCTGTTTGAGAAAGGGGACTAATGCAGACCCTCTTTCAGGGACTCGACGCTCCCCCTGGTGGTGGACCGTTAGTTCTGCATGTGGTTTCAGAGCACCTTTTGAACTCTTATATTAAGTTTGAGTTCTCTCTTCTGTTAATAAAGTTTATTTTCTTTTATCTCTAATAAAAGGTTGCTTGTCTCTTATCTCTTAATATTTAAATAAATAAAAAATGGTACCTCTTAAGAAGTTACGTTTTTATCAGTTATATTTTTCTTTTCTCTTATTTCTAATATAGATTATATAGAGGTAATGTTCTCTCCTGTGATGTGATAACATGTTCTGGTCTCTCTGTCAGTGTGGATGTGGACGGAGAGTTTGAGCGCCGCTGTCTCTCCTGTAATCTCATCGATGGATGTCGCTTCTTCTCCGCTGAGTTCAGCCCCAACCAGACACACTTCACCCTGTACTGCCGAGGTAACACACACACACACACACGCACACACACACACACACACACACACACACACACACACACCACATACACACACACACACACACACGCACACACACACCACACACACACACACACACGCACAGTATATTTTTGAAGCTGATTAAGTGAAACTGATTAAATTGATTAATGTTTGTTTTTTCCAAACTTCCCCAGGACCAGGAATCCCTAAAGTGACACTACACAGCACAAAGGACCCCGACAGTGAGTGTTACACCTAAATAACCACACACACACACCACACACACACACACACACACACACACACACACCACACACACACACACACACACACACACACACACACACACACACACACACCACACACACACACAACCACACACACACACACACACACACACACACACACACACACACACACACACACACACACACACACACCACACACACGCACACACACACACACACACACCACACACACACACACACACACACACACACACACACACACACACACACACACACACACACACACACACACAGTTGCCTCAGAGGACATACCATGTGTGTGAACACTGCCCTCTGTCTGCGGCTTAGAAAAGTATTTTATTGTTATTTTATGAATCACTTTTTAAAGTTGTATTATTTTATTCTATTTTCTATTTTTTTTATTAATAACTGTATTTATGATGTTAAAGGTGTATCATTGTATTTATCTATTCAATGTCATTTAATTAATCTTTAATTATATTATATCTAAATTGTATAATGATTGATTCTGATATCTACATTTTATAGTATTCTTTTTCTCACAATACAGCTTTTATATAAAGCACTTTAAAACCTCCAGACCAAAGTGCTGTACAGTCAAATAAACAAACAAACAAACAATCACACAGCTCACACACCATCACACAAGTACAAACTATTCAAAAGCAATAAAAGCAACAATCTAAAAGAGGTCAATACACTAAGGACACTTGGGTTAGTTGGTGATGTATCCATGCAGTCTCTAAGCTGCATGAATGTGTTGTGGTGCAGGGTTCGTGGTGCTGGAGGACAACGGCCCTCTGTCCTCAGCTCTGCAGGACAAGAGGCTCCCTGAGACTCTGTTCAGGACCGTCTCTGCAGAGCACCACGGTACTGAAGAACCTTCATTACACTTAGGATAGGAATCCACACAAATACACATCTGTGGATACAAAGAAAAACAAGTAAAATAAAATAGATTTATTTCAAAAAATCGACTGTAGCTCTATTTAATGAAACTTATCTAAGAACACCTGTTTAGTTATAATCAGGACTGAAGTTAGTTTTAGAGATCAAACTCAATGACAGCGGAAACAAATACGAATATTAAAGAATGTATCAATGCATCAAAATCAATGAGCGTGTGTTCTTTTTTACAAAGAGGCAACACTCAACAAGAAACTAAATATTTGGTTTCTATAATCAGAGGAAGAGCTTTGTGAACGCAGAAATGATTGCTGTGTATAACGTGTCAACAATCTGCCAAATAATTATATAATATTACAAATATTTTAAATGTTCTTCAAATCTTTTTAAGTCTCTCGTTGGTCAGGAGTCGTCTCATGAGCACCTGCCTGTTTCTCCCTCAGACCTGCACCTGAAGCTCTCTCTTCCTCAGGGCTACGAGGCCAACCTGCACCCCCTCCTCCTCATGGTGTAAGTGGTTCCTGTCATGTGACCTCTGACCCCCCAACCTGCACCCCCTCCTCCTCATGGTGTAAGTGGTTCCTGTCATGTGACCTCTGACCCCCCAACCTGCACCCCCTCCTCCTCATGGTGTAAGTGGTTCCTGTCATGTGACCTCTGACCCCCCAACCTGTCCCCCCTCCTCCTCATGGTGTAAGTGGTTCCTGTCATGTGACCTCTGACCCCCCAACCTGCACCCCCTGCTCCTCATGGTGTAAGTGGTTCCTGTCATGTGACCTCTGACCCCCCAACCTGCACCCCCTCCTCCTCATGGTGTAAGTGGTTCCTGTCATGTGACCTCTGACCCCCCAACCTGCACCCCCTCCTCCTCATGGTGTAAGTGGTTCCTGTCATGTGACCTCTGACCCCCCAACCTGCACCCCCTCCTCCTCATGGTGTAAGTGGTTCCTGTCATGTGACCTCTGACCCCCCAACCTGCACCCCCTCCTCCTCATGGTGTAAGTGGTTCCTGTCATGTGACCTCTGACCCCCCAACCTGCACCCCCTCCTCCTCATGGTGTAAGTGGTTCCTGTCATGTGACCTCTGACCCCCCAACCTGTCCCCTGATCATGCTGTTTGGCGGCAGTGGTTCAGTCTGTAGGGTCTTGGTCTTGGAACCGAAGGGTCGCCAGTTCACGTCCCGTGAGCTGGTAGCTGGAGAGGTGCAGTTCACCTCTTAGGCCACTGCCGAGGAGCCCTTGAGCAAGGCACCTGACCTCGAAACTGCTCCCTTGGATAACTGGCAGTCTCTCTGCTCTGTGTGTAGTTGTATGTGTGCATGTATATCCTCTGTGTGTGTGTGTGTGTGTGTGTGTGTGTGTGTGCATGTATATCCTATGTGTGTGTGTATGTGTGCATGTATATCCTGTGTGTGTGCATGTGTATCCTGTGTGTGTGCATGTGTATCCTCTGTGTGTGTGTGTGTGTGTGTGTGTGTGTGTGTGTGTGTGTGTGTGTGTGTGCATGTATATCCTCTGTCTGTGTGTGTATGTGTGCATGTATATCCTGTGTGTGTGCATGTGTATCCTCTGTGTGTATGTGTGTGTGTGTGTGTGTGTGCGCATGTGTATCCTCTATGTGTGTAAAATCCCAACAGAGTGGAGAAAGACATTTCCCTGTGAGGGATTAATAATGTATTCTTCCTCTTCTTCCTCCTCTTCCTCTTCTTCCTCCTCTTCCTCCTCTTCCTCTTCCTCCTCTTCTTCAGGGATGGTGAGCCGGGTCAGGTGGTGACGGAGGAGTTCTCTCTGGAGTGGCCCCAGGTCCTCTCCGGGTCTCACGGTGTGGCCCTCGCCTGGGTGGGGGTCCGCAGTGGGGGGGTCCGCAGTGGGGGGGGGCCGTGGACAGAAGAGCCCAAACATGGACCCTCGAAAGCTGGGGTCCATCAGAGTGAAGGATTACCTCTCAGTGGTCGAGTCAGTGACTTTATTCACTAACTCTCTCCCTAAAGTCATCCGCTCTGCCGTCTCTGTAGAAGCTTTGAAAAACTCGGCTTTGGTTTCTACTTGAGATGTGTGTGATGTGTGTGATGTGTGTGTGATGTGTGTGATGTGTGTGATGTGTGTGATGTGTGTGATGTGTGTGTGATGTGTGTGATGTGTGTGAGATGTGTGTGAGATGTGTGTGAGATGTGTGTGTGATGTGTGTGTGTTCCTCTCAGGACTCCACATGGTCTTTGTTTTTATGTTAACATTACTTTCTGCCTCGTGTTGTTATTGTATTCATGTTCCTGTGGTCTTCATTTGAACTTTTGTTCTTTCTTGTGAATTCTATTTCTGTGAAAGGTGCGATACTAAATAAACGTATTATTATTAATATTATTATTATTATTATTTAACAGGGACAGTGCACATTAATCAACATGTCTGTACATGTGTAAACCAAGAGGCTATTGTTCATCTGTCGTCTCTGGACAGATTGTGTAAGTCAACCTGAATCTAATTCATTTTAAGCAAGTCAATACAATCAAATGAAATCACGCAACATACATTACTGGAACACTTAATACAAAAGAACAATAAACAAAACAAATAAACAAAACCAACCTAAAAGAACATGTGATGTAACAACATGAATTTGATGATTACACTTATTTATTTCATGATGTTTCCACAGGTTGCTGAAGAAGCTGCCGTACATCGATGATCGCCGGATGGTTCTCTACGGAAAGGTGACAACATTGAGCCATGTCAATATTCAAAGAGAGGCTCCATAGGCTTCTGTAGTGTGGTCTATAGGGTTTAGTGCATGTAAATGGTCTGCAAAGGATAAAATCCCTGTTTCCTCCAGAGGGAGTTTCTCTCCAACACACTCACCCTATAAGATGAGACGAGGTACTTTATTGATCCCAATATAGGAAAGGTTTGCGTTGCAGCAGCATCAAAAACAACAAAACAAGGCATAGAAAGAGTAGAAATAAACAATACTACAATTTAAACATCTGAAAGTAGAATTAAAGCAACATTCAAACAACAAGTCCTCCAACTCATACGACCAAATAGGTCGATTGTTCAAGCGCTTAATACGACCTATAATCTAGTTTTAAAGTGTTCGGCCTCTAGCTCCCGTTGATTGCAAACGTTCCAGAGGGTCGTTTATTCACGAATAACCCTCTCTGGAAAATCCTAAATTGTGGAATAGTTTGGCCATTAAAACGCTTTTTATCAGATTTCTAGCGAGAAGTGTATATTGTACTTTTAGAATCCATGTCCAGTGGATGTGTAGGATCTATAGTTTGATAGATATTACGAAGATGATTTGAGGTTTCGACAGGAGAACGTTTATATGCGGCAGCCTCCATGTAAAGTTAGGGTCAACACTCACGGGATGAAAACTGTTTTTCCGATCTCAACGTTTTCATAATAAAACCAATGGTCAAATGATTACACAGTGATATCTGCAGAACTCATCCACTAACAAACATCAGTTTATCCTTGTTAATTACACAACATTAATTGGTTTAAATTGTGTAGAATGCTTTTGTGTTTTTCCCATAGGTTTTTCCCGTTAGATTCTGAGAGACACATTTCTTTTTTCAGAGGTTTTGATAAAAACATCGAACTACCCATAATCCTGGATGTTTTAGTGCACGTCGGGAGATGGTGTTTATACGATCATAAATATATCCGCAATTAAACAACATCTTACATTTCTTTTCACACAATACGTCTCCTTGCAGTATCAACACTAATTCGGCTGACTTTTATATTTGATCCAATCGGTATATTGGTATATTTACACCATAACGGTGCACAGCTGATAGAAAAGGACTTTTTAAAGATATTACTGATTTTCTTTGAATTAAAGAATGTAAATACTGAGTTGAGAGAATAGTCAGGGGTTTTGGTCGATGGGAGACACATCTATGGAATCACAATTTCAATAGCTGATATTATTATGTTTTATTAACTAGACCACTGTTTTTTTAACCCGCACCGCCTAGTGGTTAAAGCACGTTATTGAATGTTGTTGTTGAATTTAAATATTAAGAGTAGCCTACATACAAAATCGGGGGAAAGTAGAAGGTCAATGATAGAAATATAGAATAGAAAATATCAAGAAGATACTGTAGTGATCTCTACAATAAAACAGTTTAGTGCAGGACGTCCAAAGATATTAACAGGAGGATGTGCAAAACAGACAAACTAATAAGGCTTTATTTAGGCTTTTATGTCCGAGTCCAGTTTTGGAAAGTCTGCCGTGGTTCCATTCCATTTCATAGAGCTGTTTGACGCTCAGCGTAACCTTGTCGCACTGCCACTCCAACATCCAATCACAGAGCTTGAGGACTAATCACGGGGTTTGTAAAGCAAGGCGGAAGTTGTAGTCCCAAACGATAGCTCGGGATTCTGGGTAGTGTAGTGTCTTCGGAAACTCTGTGGTGTCTAAACTCCGAAAAAACTATTTGTTTTTCCGAATCGAAGGTTAAAAACACAAAAGCATTGTACACAATTTAAACCAATCAATGTTGTGTAATCAACAAGGATAAACTGATGTTTTTCAGTGGATGAGTAATGCAGATATTACTGTGTAATCATTTGATAGTGAGGGGAATACTTCCGGTTTTATTATGAAAACTTCGAGTCCGGAGGGTTGACGCTAACTTTACATGGAAGCTGCCGCATATACACGTTCTCCTGGCGAGACCTCAAATCATCTTTGTAATATCTATCAAACTATAGATCCTACATATCCACTGGACGTAGATTATAATCAAGCAATAGCTCACGACAGGCCGTGGTATATGCTCAGTATATCACAGCTAAGGGGCGTGGTTCGGTACGACGCGAAGCGGAGGGTCGACAACCCTTGGTAACCCTTGGTAACCCCCCTTTACCAAGTTTGGCAATATGAAAGAAAAATACACACTCTAATATAAATAGTTTTTATTAGTAAATAATGATGTTCAAAATACACACTCTAATTTAAATAGTTCATGTTCAATGTTCAAAATAAAATAGTCCCTCCGTTGCCTTCTGCACAAAACATAGTGCGAGGTGGTTGCTATGCAACAACATTAACAGCTAGCGAACATATTAGACCAAGAGCGTTGATCGATTATTTGGCTATTTATTTACATTTATTTGTATGTTGCCGTTTATTGTGCACCCACTGAAAACCTGTCCAGCATCAGTAGCATGGTTTACGTGGTTACTTGTTGAGGTTGTTCTAGGCCAGGGGTGCTCACACTTTTTCAGCTTGAGAGCTACTTTTAAAAAGAAAGATCTACCTACAGGGTGTACCTTTTTTTTTTTCCACTGCCATGCGATCTACCCATACTACCTTTGCGATCGACCGGTCGACGTATTGGGCACCCCTGTTCTAGGCTGTTGCTTGGCGTGGCGAGAATATTGCTCCACTTTCTCCGGTCCCCGACATTCGGCTTCCAGTAGCTCTGGAGAGAGCTTTCGCACCTGTGGCCACTAACGGTCATCATCTCTCTGCTTTGTTTCAAGACCCGCATCAGAAAGCTTTTGAATGGTGCTACTTCTCCAGTTGGTCTACCTGCTCTTCACGTAGCTCTGCATGTCGTCCTTTAGGTGCTTTTTTTCTCTGGAGATAGGCACTGCTCAATCCACTCCTCCATAGTACCGGAGGTCGAAGTTAAGTAAGGGATAATGTGCAGCGAGGCAGTCATTATGGGTAAAAGAATACCCGACAGGCAGATCAAAAATAGTCCGTTATTGTTTGAACTATGTAGCAGCAACGGCAGGAACTGCTTCGATAGCGTTTTTGCGGACCTTTTTGATTACAGATTTGAAAACATCGTTGCTTGCTTTAAAAGTAGCACAATTCATGATGTCAAACCTTGGAAAGTATCTAGATATCCCTGCCATAATGCCAAAGGAACTGCACACTGAATATGTGTCGCCGTTTGATGTCTATGTCTGGACCGCTGCGTAAAAAGGAGGGTTTCTGCCCCGTTACTTCTCCGCTGCTTTCTTGTCCCAGTTTGAAAAGCAAACTGCAGGCAGTTCACATTTCAAAGCCTCTTTACTTTGACTTGAGTAAAGAAGTTTAGTCAGTAGTTCTACTTTCACCAGAGTATTTTAAAACACGAGTCTGTGAGGGTCTAAGGACAGAGGGTGTCGTATTGTCATACTGATATTCTCTACACACTGTGAAGTCCACTGAGACAAATGTAACATTTGTGATATTGGGCTATATAAATAAACATTGATTGATTGATTGATTGAGTCTCTGTACTTCTACTCGAGTAAAGGATGTGTGTACCATCTCTGGTAAACATCCAGGAGGTGGAGGTAGTGAGCGAACAGAGACACAGTTATTCTTCTCCTGCATGCAGTTTGCTTTTCAGCCCAACTGTATACAGTTTTTCTCAGACGCGGAGGGATACTGACTTGTTGTGAAAAGTAACTACAATTCTACCCGTGGTATATGCTCAGTATATCACGGCTAAGAACCAATCAGATTGCTTGACTTGACTACACTTCTCGCTAGAAATCTAATAAAAAGCATTTTAATGGCCAAACTATCCTACAATTTAGGATTTTCCAGAGAGGGTTATTTGTGAATAAAAGAATCTCCGGAGCGTTTGCAATCAACGGGAGCATGTTGTTTCGTACACGACCACTAGAGGTGCTACACTTTAAAACGTGACTGGGTCGTATAACTTGCACAGTGCTGCTGGATGGTCCTCTATGGAAAAGTGACAGCATTTTAAGAATGAAAAGTGTTATATTCCTGTAAGCTTCTGCATACTGAATTAGTTTGGTGTTTTTATGTCCCTTCTGAATTTCCTCTCAATGTGACGCATAAAGGGAACTGTTCAAATATCTCCTTCATGTTGTTTCGACCAGGCAGCTTTATATCAAGAGCACAGTAACCAAACACCCCCTGTTGTTTCAACACTTGTCTCTCTCTCCTCCTGCAGGCGTTTGGTGGATATGTGTCTCTGAAGATGTTGGCGGCGACGGAGAATCTGTTCCAGTGCACGGCCGCCGTCGCTCCCATCACAGACTTCAGGCTCTACAGTGAGTTCAGATCAGAGCGTTAACTCTTTAAACACCAGAGGGGGGAAGTAGTGGAGTACAAATACTTCATCACTGTACTTAAGCAGATTTCTCTGGTATCAGTACTTTACTCCACTACTTATTTTTCTGACGACTTTGACTTCTTACATGTTGAACTTAAATACCTGTACTTTCTACTTCTTACATGTTGAATCCAAATACCTGTACTTTCTACTTCTCTCATGTTGAACACAAATACCTGTACTTTCTACTTCTTACATGTTGAACCCAAATACCTGTACTTTCTACTTCTTACATGTTGAACTCAAATACCTGTACTTTCTACTTCTTACATGTTGAACACAAATACCTGTACTTTCTACTTCTCTCATTTTCCAAACAGCTGGTTCCTTTAGTCTGAATGTGTGTTTGATGCGTGATCATCATTCTTTAGAGTCATTGCGTGCCTATTGATTTGAACACGATCCGTGTATCCATCATTTCCTGGTCTTCTCTAAAGAAGAGGGACCAATGGAAACGTTGTCATGTTGCCGTTGTTCAGCATGGAAACATTCATTAGCTAACAATGACATTATTGTTCTATTGATATAAAGGGAGGTCAGGCACTCTTTAAAACAGCTGCTAGTTATGGGTACTTTTTACTGAAGTACATTTCAAAGTTCTTTACTTTTGCTTGAGTAAAGAAGTTTAGTCAGTACTTCTACTTTTACCAGAGTATTTTTAAACACGAGTCTCTGTACTTCTACTCGAGTAAAGGATGTGTGTACCATCTCTGGTAAACACCCAGGAGGTGGAGGTAGTGAGCGAACAGAGACACAGTTCATGTATTCTTCTCCTGCAGGCGCTGCGTTCTCAGAGAGGTTTCTGGGTCTTCCAGCGAAGGAGGAGCACGCATACTCGGTGAGGCTGAAGGAGTATTAACCGAAACTAATGCAGGATGGAAACCACAACTCAACATTTACACTTTAATGTACATTAGTCTGTGTTTCCGTCGCTAATAAAGCACTCGTACTGTGCTGGTAAATCTTTCCAGACTGCCTCGTTGCTGGAGGAGGTGAACAAGCTGAAGGACGAGAACTTCCTGATCCTTCACGGGACGGCAGACGGTGAGACACTGTTCGGGGTTTCCCATGTTGTTCTCACTTAGATGTATTAGTTTTTCTCAAACGTCCAGCAACATACAGCACAAAACATGCTTTTTGCGACGCGGCTACAACTGTTCTTATACTGCTTTGTTTTCTATCTACACCTTAGGGCTACTAACCTCCCTGAGATTCATGGTGTCATCATTTTACTTGGAGCAAAATGTAAATGTAACTATACAAATACCCTTAAAAGCTAAACTGCTGTAACTGTCTGATGTTCAGGGACCCTAGGTTTAGCTGTTCAGTCTGCAGCTAGACCACCTAACAATCTGGGACCAGGGCACTAAATAAAAACACAGAATAGACTCACGATACAACATCATGGTTCTGTCAACGCTGAAATAGGACGGTTTCCTCAACAACAAAAAAACACTGGTGCCTTTTTTTGCTCACAGCTTCACAATGTGCTTCAGCTGTGAGTCAATAAGTGTTTGTAGATATTGTAAGATGGCAACCTGTGTGTGTGTGTGTGTGTGTGTGTGTGTGTGTGTGTGTGTGTGTGTGTGTGTGTGTGTGTGTGTGTGTGTGTGTGTGTGTGTGTGTGTGTGTGTGTGTGTGTGTGTAACCGGTGTCTGCGTTGTGTTTTGTTGTTGATGGATGAGACCCGAGCCAGCATACAGTGGAGGCGATCTCCGTTTATTCACTGACAATATACAACAAATCAGTCGTTATTCAATAGTTTTTTCCCTCACACCGACTCTTCTCACGTGAAACATTCACAAAAAGGGAAGAGGAAACATGAGGGACACAATATGAAGGCAAGGCAAGGCAAAGCCCTGTTTATTTATATAGCACTTTTCAACACAAGGCAATTCAAAGTGCTTTACAAAAAACGAAAGAGATTAAGAAAATGGCATTTAAAATCAGTCATTAAAAAGAAAAGCTAATAAAATAAACATTAAAAGAAAAAGTACATGGATAAAAGTTACAGTGCAGTCTAAGATATGAATAGTTCAATTAAAAGCAGCGACAAAAAGAAAAGTCTTCAGCCTGGATTTAAAAGTAGTCAGAGTTGCAGCGGACCTGCAGTTTTCTGGGAGTTTGTTCCAGATATTTGGAGCATAATAACTGAACGCTGCTTCTCCATGTTTAGTTCTGACTCTGGGGACAGAAAGCTGACCAGTCCCTGAAGACCTGAGAGATCTGGATGGTTCATAATTTAGCAGGAGGTCAGAAATGTATTTTGGGCCTAAACCATTCAGTGCTTTATAAACCAGCAGCAGTATTTTTGAAATCTATTCTTTGACACACAGGAAGCCAGTGTAAAGACTTCAGAACTGGAGTGATGTGATCCACTTTCTTAGTGTTAGTGAGGACTCGAGCAGCGGCGTTCTGAATCAGCTGCAGCTTCCTAATAGATTTTTTAGTGAGACCTGTGAAGACACCATTGCAGTAGTCGAGTCTACTGAAGATAAAAGCATGGACAAGTTTTTCCAAATCCTGCTGTGACATTAGTCTTTTAATCCTAGATATGTTCTTTAGGTGATAGTAGGCTGATTTAGTAACAGTTTTAATGTGACTGTTGAAACTCAGGTCAGAGTCCATGACTACACCTAGATTTCTGGCTTTATCTGTTGTTTTGAACATTGCACACTGAAGCTCAGCGCTAACTTTTATACGTTCTGACTTGGCTCCAAAAACCATTACCTCAGTTTTATCTTTGTTTAATTGGAGAAAGTTCTGACACATCCAGTCATTGATTTGTTCAATGCACTTACTCAGTGTTTGAATTGGAGCATAGTCTCCTGGCGAAATTGTTTCGTACATTTGTGTGTCATCCGCATAGCTATGGTAACTTATTTTGTTGTTCTTCATTATCTGAGCCAGTGGTAGCATGTAGATGTTAAAGAGAAGAGGCCCCAAGATGGAGCCTTGAGGTACCCCACATGTCATATTTGTCAACTCAGATGTGTATTTACCTATAGAAACAAAGTTGTTTCTGTCCTTTAAGTAGGATTCAAACCAATTTAGAACTGTTTCCGAAAGTCCCACCCAGTTTTCCAGTCGGTCTAGTAATATGCTGTGGTCAACAGTGTCAAACGCAGCACTGAGATCTAATAATACTAACACTGAAGTTCTGCCACTGTCTGTGTTTAAGTGGATGTCATTGAAGACCTTTACAAGAGCAGTCTCAGTGCTGTGGTTTGGACGAAAGCCTGACTGGAACACATCAAAACAGTTATTTAAATGCAAGAGAAGGGGAGAAGTTCCCACAAAAATAATCTCCTGAGTACAGTGACTAAAATCTGGAGGTTCCGCCCACTGATTCTAGACCTAGTCAGGTATTGAACTTTTATATATAAAGAACACAGAATTATTAAATACAAAACACAGAATTTGTGTGATTATACTAAATGATTTTCCAATAAATATTTAACATTAAACACCACTGCATATTTACAACGTGTGTGTGTGTGTGTGTGTGTGTGTGTGTGTGTGTGTGTGTGTGTGTGTGTGTGTGTGTGCTCCCGCAGCGAGGGTTCACTTCCAGCACAGCGCGGAGCTCCTGAGCCGGCTGGTGAAGGTGGAGGCGAACTACTCCCTGCAGCTGTACCCGGACGAGGGCCACACCCTGAGGGCCCCGCGCAGCATCCAGCACCTCCAGAGGACGCTGGTGAACTACCTGCACAGCTGCCTGCAGAACAGCTACCTCCTGCAGCCTGAGGAGGAGGAGGAAGAGGAGGAAGATTACTGAGGCGTGAGGAAGGACTATCTCTGGACTGGAGGTCACTTTATGCATCACTTTGGATTATCTCGGGAGCGGGGACCAAACTCATCGCCTCCTGCAGACAGAGAGGGCAGAAGTACACACATCCTTTACTCAAGTAGAAGTACAGAGACTCGTGTTTAAAAATACTCTGGTAAAAGTAGAAGTACTGACTAAACTTCTTCACTCAAGTGAAAGTAAAGAGGGCATTGAAATGTACTTAAAGGTAGGGTAGGTAATATTGAAGAAACCAGCTCGAGTGCGCTAGAATTTGAAAATACACGACCGGAGAAAACCTGCCACTTCCTCACAGAGCCCCTCCTCCAACACACACGAACGCACACATGACCAATGAGGGCACGAGATCAGTTTGTGCCCAGATGGAAGGCTGACAGGCAGGTAGGCCATCCAGTTACTTTAGCCGGGCCGTCTCAGATGATTGGTCGTGCTTTTTACAGTACCACGGCTTCCACAGATTACATTTTTGTATGGATTTTTTGTCAAAGCATTTAAGATATTCATTGCTATCGGGATGTTAAGAGCATTCCATGGAATATAACAAGTGTATCTCGAGCCGGTTTCTCAAACTTACCCCACCTTTAAGTAAAAAGTACCCATAACTAGCAGCTGCTTTAAAGAGTACCTGACCTCCCTTTATATTAATAGAACAATTATGTAATTGTTAGCTAATGAATGTTTCCATGCTGAACAACGGCAACATGACAACGTTTCCATTGGTCCCTCTTCTTTAGAGAAGACCAGGAAATGATGGATACACGGATCATGTTCAAATCAATAGGCACGCAATGACTCTAAAGAATAATGATCACGCCACCAAACAAACATTCAGACTAAAGGAACCAGCTGTTTGGAAAATGAGAGAAGTAGAAAGTACAGGTATTTGAGTTCAACATGTAAGAAGTAGAAAGTACAGGTATTTGAGTTCAACATGTAAGAAGTCAAAGTCGTCAGAAAAATAAGTAGTGGAGTAAAGTACTGATACCAGAAACATGTATTTAAGTACAGTAAGGAAGTATTTGTACTCCACTACTTCCCCCCCTCTGCCTGCAGACCTGGAGCGTCTCTCTTTACCTTGTTGATGTTTTACTCTGCGTGTCGGGCCGTGGTCCTTTCCACTTCCTGAGGAGGCTTCTGGTTCTGCCAAAGGTTTACATTTTAAAGCATGCATGTGGTAACGGCTGCATGACGTGGATCAGTTTACATGTTCTGTGTTTCTCAGATCTGAGTCTCACCCATCAGGGGAAAGAGCAAACCATGCCAACAGCCGGGAACACATCGGGAGACCTGAGTACTTTTCTTTTTTCATTTACCCTTAAAATAACATTGATCTGACCGCAGTGCTCACTCTCCACGATCTTTAAGTTCATATTCATTTATATCACATTTCATACACAGGTAAACTTCAGGTGCTTGACAGAAAAACAACAAATATGAGATGAACAAACTCAACTCAACATGTTCAAACTTTATTACATTATTATTACATTGCATTTAGCTGGAGCTTTTATCCAAAGCGACTTACAATAAGTGCGTTCGACCAACAAAATATAAACTTGAAGAAAACAGAATCATATAAGTACATCAGGCTTCATAGAGATAAAACATTTCAAGTGCTACTCAACTGGCTTTAGATAAGCCAGCCCTTTATTAGTATATAAGTGCTTTGTTAATAGTTCTATCGCTCGAAGTGGAGTCGAAAGAGATGAGTTTTCAGTCTGCGCCGGAAGGTGTGTAAGCTATCTGCTGGCCTGATGTCAATGGGGAGCTCATTCCACCATTTTGGAGCCAGGATAGCAAACCCACGTGTTTTTGCTGATGGGAACTTGGGTCCCCTTCGCAGCGAGGGTGCAGCGAGCCGTTTGGTTGATGCAGAGCGGAGTGCACGTGCTGGGGTGTACGGTTTAACCATGTCCTGGATGTAGGAAGGGCCAGATCCATTCACAGCATGGTACGCAAGTACCATTGTCTTGAAGTGGATTCTAGCAGTTACCGGAAGCCAGTGAAGGGAGCGGAGGAGCGGCGTGGTGTGGGAGAATTTAGGAAGGTTGAAGACCAGACGAGCCGCTGCATTCTGGATGAGCTGCAGAGGTCGGATGGCACATGCAGGTAGACCAGCCAGGAGGGAGTTGCAGTAGTTTAGGCGTGAGATGACGAGAGCCTGGACCAGAACCTGCGTCGCTTTCTGGGTCAGCTGGGGACGCATCCTCCTGATGTTGTAAAGCGTGTATCTGCAGCAGCGATGTTTGCAGTGAAGGACAGGTTGTTATCTAGGGTCACACCCAGATTCCTTGCAGTCTGAGTCGGGGAAACAACAGAGGTGCCAATGTTGATTGTTAGGTCAAGAGTGGGACAATCTTTTCCCGGAAGGAAGAGCAGCTCAGTCTTGTCAAGGTTGAGCTTGAGGTGATGAGCAGACATCCACTGAGAGATGTCAGCTAGACAAGCAGAGATGCGTGCGACGACCTGGGTCTCTGAGCGGGGAAAGGACAGAATTAATTGGGTGTCGTCAGCGTAGCAGTGGTATGAAAAACCATGCAGGCTAATTACTGATCCGAGCGAGTTTGTGTACAAGGAGAAGAGGAGGGGACCAAGAACAGAGCCCTGAGGGACCCCTGTAGTTAATTGACAAGGGTCGGACTCTGACTCTCTCCAAGTAACCCTGTAGGTGCGGTCTTTGAGGTATGAGGTGAGGAGGGAAAGTGCAGAGCCTGAAACTCCAAGTGCTTGGAGAGTGTGAAGGAGGATCTGATGATTCACCGTGTCGAATGCAGCAGACAGGTCCAAAAGGATGATGACAGAGGAGAGGGAGGCTGCTTTAGCAGTGTGCAGTTCCTCAGTGACAGCAAGGAGGGCAGTTTCTGTGGAGTGACCTGCCTTGAAACCAGACTGGTGCAGATCCAGAAGGTTGTTCTGATTGAGATAACAGGAGAGTTGTTTAAAGACAGCGCGTTCAAGTGATTTAGACAGGAACGGGAGGAGAGAGAGAGGCCTGTAGTTTATAACATCTGACGGGTTGAGAGTGGGTTTCTTTAGGAGAGGGTTTACTCTTGCCTCCTTGAGACTGTTTGGAAAGTGACCAGAAGTTAGAGAAGTGTTGATGAAATGGGTGAGAAACGGTAGAATATCAGGAGCGATAGTGAGAGCACCGATGAGGCAAAGGTAGAGGGGGAGAGGGGGAGAGGGAACGAAGGTTACGGCGGACAGGTGCAGGATGGGAAGAGATTAGTTTGTTATGTTTGGAAAGGGGTAGAGAGAATGAAATGAAGAAGTGATCGGATGTGTGGAGCGGGTTTACAGAGAGGTTAGAAGTAGAGCAGTTCCTTCAGAATATGAGATCAAGGACATTGCCAGCTTTATGAGTCGGTGGGGACGGAGACAGTGAGAAAGCAAAGGCGGTTAACAGAGATGTTAGTTCGTCTATCTTCCCTGTCTGGAGGTTGAAGTCTCCGAGAAGTACAGCGGCAGGCCCAGTTTCAGGGATGTGTGAGAGGAGATTATCTAATTCCTTAATTGTATAGGATGGGTTACTGTGACGGCATGGAATTCAAAGGTGGAAGGAGTGAAGTTAGGTAGCTTGAAGAGGGAGAAGCTCCATTTGGGAGAGAGCAGGAGACCAGTGCCACCTCCTCTGCCAGTGGGTCTGGGTGTATGGGAGAAGGAATATGCTGTGGAGAGAGCTGCTGGGGTGGATGTGTTGGATGGAGTAATCCAGGTCTCAGTGAGAGCAAGGAAATCCAGAGACTGCAGGGAGGCGTAGCCAGAGATGAAGTCAGCCTTAGGAACAGCTGACTGGCAATTCCACAGGCCGCCTGAAACTAGATGTTGGATCTCAGTGGAGCATGTGGGATAGACGAGAGCAGGCCGGTTATATCGATTACGAGATACACGGGGCCAGTGATAATTGCAAGAAGACACATAAACAGGAATGGAGAAAATACACATGATTATAGCATGAGGGGCTAAACAACCAAAGAAAATAAAACACCAGCGATACTTAGCTCAATCAGAGTAGTATTTGCCTCCTCTTTGCCTCCCTCGTGACTCCCGCAGGACTCTAATGTCTTTGTCAGTCTTACTCCCGCAGGACTCTAATGTCTTAGCCTGTCTGACACTGAAGCTGACGCTCCAGGAAAGTGCTACCTAAAATGGACACCTGATTGCTGAGTTCTCACAGCTGTGGGGCCACGTCCCTTTAATTAGTTCACTCTCTGCAGCTGGTGGCCCTCAAAAGGAAATCTAGACTGGCTTCCTCCTGAGTTGTTATTGTCTTTTAAGTGGCCCAATGGTTTTCCAATTACATTAAACCCTAAGTTATAAAGTTATGAATTTAACCCTTAATACAGTTACACCTACTCAATAAAGCTCTTAGTATTCTACAAATGTTTAAATCAAAGTTAACCCTAGCAGTCAGTTAGTTCAGTTTTAAGGTTTCAGTCAAATTACTTGTCCCAAGTTTCTGCCTGACAGATACTGTAGCGGTTTTGAGATTTAAAATAACAATTTCAGTCAGATCAACTACAGAGCATTGAGTACACACACTGAAACAGAGAAGTCTAAAAACAGAATGTTACTCACACAATTCTAGAAGTCTCCAGTTGCTTTCCTGTCAAAATCGAGTTGCACCTCAACATGTTCAAACTGTATTATAAATCAGAGTTATTTGAGGTCTTGTGCACAGTGTGTTCCCGGTTTACAGACAGCTAAACGCAGCGTTATGGATCAGTCCAAATGTGTCTGGGTTTTATTAGCAGTTACTGCATCGTGTGATTAATAATGAAACTATTTACACCTCAGCTCTGATTCATGACGACTGCAGCAACGTCCTGTAGCTCCGTCTGTATTCACTGAGATAAATACTGTTTGGTACATTTGGCTTTTTGATCATTTCCTTCATTCCTTCATCATTTCCTGCATGGTTTTCCGTTACAGAATGTAATCATATCTTTGGTCAAACTGAATTTATATTTATGGGGGTGGGAAACAGAGTTGAACATTACACTCTGAACCAAACTGGGAAACTGCATGACGTTGGACAGGATTCTCCTTTTTCCAACAATCCTTGACAATAAAGTTCTTGTTTTACAGCAAAGATATAAATGTGTCTGAGTCCTTCACTTATTATTATGGCTGCCATAAAGTCTATAGGGTCATTATGATTCTGAAGAAATACATCTAATACATTACAAACCTTAACTTTACTTCCACTCTACTATATATGTTTCTGTTTATACAGTATTAGTCGATTAATCAATAAGTTTACTGACAACATATATCAACGCATAGTCATCATTTTGAGGTTTGAAGGAAGTTAATACGGTTAATGGATAAATTAATATTGTTGGGTTTTGGACAATGAAGGAATCAAATGGGTTCTTATGGTCATTTTCAGAGGTACTTAAAAAAGTTTTACTAAGTAAAAGTAGAAGTACTCGGATCTAGTATTTCAGTAAAAGTAGAAGTAATCAGATCTTGTACTTGAGTAAAAGTAGAAGTACTCGGATCTAGTACTTGAGTAAAAGTAGAAGTACTCAGTGTCTGACCTCACTAATGCTCTTCTGGATGAAAGGGCTTCCCACAGACACACTCCAAGATCTGTAGAAAGCCTTCCCAGAAGAGTGGAAGCTGTTATAGCTGCAAAGGGGGACCAAGTTCAAATGAAAGCCTAAGAGTTTGGAATGGGATGTCCTGAAAGCTCCTGCAGGTGTGATCAGAATCAGAATCCCTTTATTAGTCCCAGAGGAGAGATGTACATTGTTACAGCAGAAAGAGCCAGAGACAGCTTCATGTTCCCTAAAGCATGCAGACAACAAAGTATTAGAGATTAAAACAAGAAATTATAAGTAAAAAAAAGTTACACATTTTACAAAATACACATGCTGTACCAGTTCTGAGGATTTAACAGCCAGATATATATTGCAGTTTTAACGGCATATATATAGCACATAGTTGGTATTTAACAACAAGGGGTGTTATAGTCTGTGTTGTTGTGTGGGGGGTCTACTAGGGGTCGTGGTGGTTATATAGTCTGACCGCTGCAGGAAGGAAGGACCTGCGGTATCTCTCTAATGTGCAGGTGGTCCAATACTTGCGTCTATATTGTGTATAATTGAGTATCATCTGCATAACAATGAAAATGTCCCGAGTGATTCCTTATCGCCTAAAGGAAGCGTATATAATGTGAACACAATAGGTCCGAGCTCTGAGCCCTTATGCTTTGCTGCGGCAACACTGGCTGGATTCAATCAAACAGAACTCTAAACACATTTTCAGCTCTGCACACAATCTGCAATTCAACTCTGCACTTTCTAAAACCCTGCACACGGTTCTCTGAGTAACACACAGAGATCTGACATATTCACCTGGCAGCCATTTTCAAAACACTGCCATTAAACATGCTACACATATGAGCCAATGAACAGATACACATGCCAGCTGACCGTTACCGCCTGGCTGCTGTACTGCTGACTCATCAATCAGGATATAAGGACAAACAACAATATCCTGTTTATGAAATACACAAGAAAAGAAAGAAGATTTAAAGGGCCCATGTCATGCTTTTCCGGTTATTACCCGTCCCCTTGTGTGTTGTGAAGGTTTTTATGCATGTAAACGGTGTGCAGAGTCAAACCCCTCAAAGTACACCCTGTAGCGAGTAAAACTCTAACACAGAAAATACCTCCCCAAAACGCCTCGTTGGAGATACGTCATTGTCCATTTTTTACTTCCTGGGTACTGTGTTGTAGGAATACCCAGTAGCCACGCCCAGAACTATGACGCGAAACGGTCATGCGGTACCCGGAACCAAATGGGCCAATCCGCGGAGCCGTTACGTTAAGCCCCCGCTGATTGGTCCAAATTGACCAATCCACGGACTTCCTCACACACACACACACACACACACACACACCTGGCTGCAGGCTGATAACAGACAGTTGGGATCGCGGCGAAATTCTCTCTGCAGACCCATTCTCACAGCGTTTATCAACCCTTTTCTTACTCAATATCAAGCCACACTTATTGTTTTTACTTCGGCTGTGACTTTGTGTGTGCTCAGGGTGAGTTTGGCTGTGTTTCGCTGTGTATCGCTAAACAAGGAAATCACACCTCCACGGAGCTCAGTGCGATTCACAACGTCCCGACTGGTCCCGACCAATCGGATCACACTGGGCTCACAGGGAGGGGGGGAGAGCTGCAACGAGCCGTTTAGTGGAGAGAGTGAATAATACACGTAGTTTACAGAGATGCTGTATGCGAAACCAATGTGAGTTTGGAACATTGCACAGTATAAATCTATTCTAGTAGACCTCAACAATGGAACTATGATCAGTGGAAATGGCCATGACATGGGACCTTTAAGTCGTTAATTCATGAGAAAAGCACTCTGATAGAAAGTCAGAAACATTTGATTAAAACAAATGTAAATAAAATGTCCAAAGAAAGTATTCAGAGTAATTCTTATTACAGTTTTATAATTGTTTTATATATTTCACAAATGATCTGCTTTGACTGCAGCTTGAGAAACTTCTGGATTCAGTCTGAAAGCATCATTTTTTAACTTTAAACATGATCTTTAATAATGTTGTAGTTTAGTTGAACTCTGAGAGGTCGACTGGCTGGACTCCTCACTGGGACTCTGGTTCTGGACCAGCTTGCAGGGTCCAGGAGTTCTTGGAGAGAAGGAGCGCTTCCTGCCGCAGGACTCGGGGGATGGGAGTTCCTGAACATGGAGAAACAGCTTCAGTTATTATGCTCCAAATATCTGGAACAAAGTCACAGAAAGAATGTGTCTGCAGCTCAGAGAGTCCTGCTGGGAACCCACACATGTTGAGGAGCCCAAAGTGTGATGATAGACATGTACAGTACGGGTCCCCAGCACATAGAAGCTGCCGGATGCTAACCTGCATATGTTGGGAGAGCTTTACAGATCAGGAGAGGAACCAAGTAGGCCTACATTTACTCAAGTACTGTACTTAAGTACAATGTTGAGGTACTTGTACTTTACCTGAGTATTTCCCTTTTGGGCTACTTTGTATTTCTCCTCCTCTACAGTTCAGAGGTACATGGTGTACTTGTACTCCACTACATGTATTAATACCTTTAGTTACTTTACAGATCTGGATGAATGATTTGAAATTTAATCAAGTGTTAATACATGTAGTGGTGTACTTGTACTCCACTACATGTATTAATACCTTTAGTTACTTTACAGATCTGGATGAATGATTTGAAATTTAATCAAGTGTTAAATCAGACTTTAGTTCCACCTGGAGTAAATCCACCAGCTACCCTGCAGTATACAAAGTCATTCAAACTAGCTGCACTTTTACCAGCTTTGAGAACACTTTAAAGGTGACCTATCATGTTATATTTGAACAATATATTGTAGGGCCATACCTATATAAGTATATAAATATAGGTTTTTTTTCAAAATAACAAACAGATCCTGCATTTTAGCCATGCCTCATTTCGCTCTATAGAGAGGCGAAGTCACACCCATCTACTTCCGGTCCATGGGACCTTATTTCGGAAAAATTATGTATTGAAGTCAATGGAGAGAGAAAGATTATCTTTCGATCCCGTTTGAATTGTACCATGAATGACACATATGATGTTTGTCAATCTTAAAAAATAATTTCCATGTCAAAAAAGTCACAGTTTGTCGCAAAACTGTTGAAATATAAGACTATGAAAAATACGCAACTAGAAAGACTACAAATCCCAGAGTCGCGTAAGTGATGTCATAACTGTTTTCCTCCACTAAGAGATAGCTCAGATCAGTGCCATATAGATATAATCTATCTATATGGCGCTGGCTAAGATAAGATAACTTTAACAAGATGCCTGTGTGCTTATTACCAGGTTGTTATCATACCAGCAATGGGTCTTGCTCGTTCTTTCGCTTCCCGTCTTTTCAAAGGACCAGGAGTGGCTGGATCAAGTTAGCTACCTAGCTAGTAGCTAGCACGTTAGTATTAGCCTTAACATGAAGTAACATTAAGGAACCCAACATGTTAAACAGTAAGATTAGTAGTCATATTTCGTGAACCCTGTGAAGAGTAGCCTACTGTCACACCGGTGTTATCATTCTATAATACACAATTTAAGCCCGGGCGAGAAATGCTAACGCTACATTAGCATCTGCGATCTTTTCTACTTCACGCTATCTGCACAAATGGTTGACATTAAACATTAAAAAGACCAGGCAGTTCAGAGAGAATCAAAGGAAGGCAGGCAGGCAACTTTGCATGACATTCTTCTGGACGTGTTTCATTGTGGTGATAGTGAGGATAGTCAATCGTTTTGTTGACAAGACAGTAGTGACGGCCATCTTGGTGACGTGTGTTGTTCTGCTAGACCAGAGATGTAGTTCATTCAGCGTTTCACACAAACAAAAGTATTACTTCACAGTTTTACGACACATTTTAATTTATTTTTTACTTGCAAAATTATCTTTTAAATTGACAAACATCAGATGTGTAATTCGTGGCACAATTCAAACAGGATCGAAAGATCATCTTTCTCTCTCCATTGACTTCAATGCATAACTTTTCAGAAATAAGGTCCCATGGAGCTCAACCGGAAGGGTAGGGACTTCGCCACTCTATATGCTCTTTCCTGCCCTGTTTTTGCAGGAGCCTGATTCTGTGAGCTGCAGCTGACCACGCCCCCCTGCAGGAGAGGGGAGAGTGTTCTGAGATCAGCTGCTCGGCTGCAGCAGGGAGAAGAGGGGGAGGAAAAGAGATCTCCGTCCTCCGTGTTTTATTCTTATATGATTATAGAGTCAATATTCATTTGTTTTAAAGCTCAATAAATAACAAAGAAGACCTTTGACTGGCACTTTTCTAATTTTGTCCGGAAGATTTAAACTTTAACGGACATGTTGACCGGCGAAAAAAAATCAAACTGAAACTCTGCCGCACGGTCCCCTTGTTCCTTGGAAGAGGCGAAGAGGTGGGTGTTTGTCATCTGCTGGTGGCAACCCGGAGAGAATGACAGTGCTTGCCTCGACAGGGAGGGATTGCATTGAATTACAGGAGCAAACATTTGCCTCGGGAGGGAGAAAAAGAGCCACAGCGGAGAATAAACAGAAGGGCAACCATGGCAACCATGCGCGGGAAGTCTTCTTCGCTGCTTTTGTGGCAGACTACAGCGCCACTTACAGGCCTAGCATATGTACTACAGCGTCTCCAGCGCTTTCGAGCGGCAATGGCCGGCCGTGGCCCAACCCCACATTCCCCTGATAGGTGGAGAGTTGGCCATATAGGCGGAGCTCCTCGTTCCTGACGTCAGAGAAATTTCAAATCTGTATCAGTCTGTATCAGATCCATTGCAGCCCCGATTTTAGAGATTTGGGTATGGAGGAAAAGAGAGAGGGTTGTGTTTTCTGACACTTGGTGAGTTCCCTGGAACACCGGGACACATATTCATGTATAAAAGACGTACAAAAGTGCATTTTGCATGATAGGTCCCCTTTAACTATATTTTGATGATAATACTTTTCTACTTTAACTAGAGTAACATTTTCAATGCAGGACTTTTACTGTAACAGAGTATTCCTACACTCTGGTACTTCTACTTTTACTCAAGTACAAGATCTGAGTACTTCTACTTTCACTCAAGTACAAGATCTGAGTACTTCTACTTTCACTGAAGTACAAGATCTGAGTACTTATATTTTTACTCAAGTACAAGATCTGAGTACTTCTACTTTTACTAGAGTACAAGATCTGAGTACTTCTACTTTTACTACAACATCTAAGTACTTTTACTGAAGTATATGTTGATGGTAATACTGTAACAGACTGGTTATAGTGTTGATGTTTTCATGTGTTTTATTCTTCAGAGTTTATGTACATTTTACAGAGTGTCAGTGAACGCGTCACTGTGTTGATAGACAGTTCTTGTGAAGAGAAACAGCCAAAATGATGAAGAGAGAGAAACCAGAGTGTTGTTTTCCTCTGAGGACATGCTCCATCAAAGAGTCTCATATCTGGATGAATGGAGGATATTCAGTACTCACAGGTCTTCTGGATCGTGGCTCTGATCGTCTCATCTCTTCTGATCCTGTAGGGATGAACACAATCCAACAGTTATGGATCCAGTTTAAAATAAGTGTTTGTTCTTTGAGTCAGCTTCAGAGTACTGCTCTCATGCTTTACATCCCATCATATCTTCTCTGCAAACACTACGACTGACTGCCACAGCTCTCAGCTGCATGACAGGAAGTAACAGTCATTAGTCAAGGAGCTAAAAACATCCCATCAAACACAGACTACCTTTTCCACTCTTCTGTCAAACCCCATATGTCTGGTGGAAAGTTGATGACTGACTAAATGTGGCTTTGCATTTCCAGCTGGCCTTCTATAGTTGATGGAAGAATGAGAGAGCCTGCAGTCAGTGGGTAACATCACTGATCTGTTTCCCCAGTGAGAGAAACACCTCCCTGTGTTTCATACAATACTGCTGAACCAGCAGAGACCCCTTACTGACCTGAGGGTCTCCAGTCTGCAGTCTGGACTCTCCAGAAGATCTCTCAGCAGCTCCACTCCTGAATCCTGCAGATCGCTCTCACTCAGGTCCAGATCTCTCAGCAGCTTCACATCTGAATCCTGCAGAGCGTTGCCACTCAGGTGCAGATCTCTCAGATGGAGGTTGGACTTCAGAGCTGAGATCAGAGCAGAACAGCTGATCCCTGACAACCTGCAGTCCCTCAGTCTGAATAAAGAAAACATGAGGATAAAAATCTGTTTATAATCCAATCAGATGTTCCTCAACATTTAAATGAATCTGAACAGAAAAATCTGTCTACTTCAGAAGGTAAACTTTATCATGTAAAACTAAAATGACTTCAGATTACCTTTATTCAGACGTTATCATTTACCAAATATTAAATACATAGATTTACCTTTTACAACTAACATATATTACAGTTCCTTTAACCTGTTAAGCCCTAAGCCTGTTTTTCAGGTCTCAGGCTCGAAAATGACATTCCCAGAACAAATTACCATATCTTCCCTTCTAAAAGGGTTAAATTAATAATTGTTTTTCTCAAAGCAATGATAAACATGTGAGTTGGATGTAGAAAAGCCAGAATCAATATAGACTTTTGTTATTTTTAAATAAATTCAGATTGAACATAGTAAAAAAATGTAAATTATTGTGTCCGTCCAAAAAAACATTACTTACCACCCTTGAATGATGGGATCGGAGACTAAAAGCTAACATATAATAAGTACCCTGTATCAAGATTGATGCAAAAAAAATATTGACCTTTTTAGAGAGATTTAGAAGAAAGAAACCCACTTTTGGGGTCATTTGGGTGCATTTTCCATATCTCTGGCCCCCCTCGGTTGATTTTGATGATTGACATCTATTTTTAACCGTTAGAGCCAATAGAATCGAAGGGGAAGTTCCTAAAATCCATCTAAACATTTCCCATTGGTGAATGAGTGATGCGTAGCCAGAATGCCCAAAACCGGAAGCTGTCATACACTCTGGTAGCTATCATAGCAGCTATATATGAAATCTCCGTTATTTACATAAAAATGGAATGATGGATTATCAGTAATCATTTCAAAGTGACACAGACACATTGGATTAACCTGTGGATTAACCTTCAGCAGCGTTTTTATCGTTTTAATGCTATTGAACACGACTTTTGATCAGAATAACAGCTAAGGTAAGACGTATTTTGCCGTTTTGGCATTGTAAAGCTAAATTATGTGTTGTCTGGATTCGCATTCGCTGCCCTGAGTTTTGGTCACACAGTGATGATACTTATACTTCTGGAATCTGTGGAATCTCAGCTTCCAGCAGATGATATCTTGTTTGTGCAGATCTGATAAGTAATAACATATTTCTACCGTGAGTTATGTGCTAAGTGCGTTAGCATTTTTCCGCTCAGGGCTAATTCAGAGGCTTGGTATTACCCTTGTGTTTCGTTTAGCTAAAAATGGTTCATATCGTCAGTTAGCTGAGTTTCTTCCCGTTAAGTGGGTATGACACATTAATAGGTTGTTAAATGTTAAGAAGCCCTTAGACACAGTTTCGTGAAGAAGAAAAAAAGCCTGCAGCCCCTTAACAGGTTAAGAAATACTCAACATGTATGTCTGCAGTTCTTACTTCTTACTCTTAAAATGAAACATGAATATAAGGACATTTACAACTCTATGGATGTTAGTTATTAATGAATATAAATGAGGTTCAGTTAAAAAGTGAACATGTGAGATCTCCAGCAGTAACAGAGAGTCAGTGAACTGACCTGAGGGTCTCCAGTCTGCAGTCTGGACTCTCCAGAAGATCTCTCAGCAGCTCCACTCCTGAATCCTGCAGAGCGTTCTCACTCAGGTCCAGATGTCTCAGATGGATGTTGGACTTCAGAGCTGAGATCAGAGCAGAACAGCTGATCTCTGACAAACTGCAGCTCCTCAGTCTGAATAAAGAAAACATGAGGATACGAATCTGTTTATAATCCCATCAGATGTTACTCAACATTTAAATGAATGGGAACAGAAACATCTGTCTACTTCAGAAAGTGAACTTTATCATGTATGTAATAGAAACATATTATACTCACTTACTTTAATAATATCATTGTGTGATTCTTATTTGCTAATGTTTTTCTATATTTACTACTTCTCACACTTCTTAGCTAAGCTTGGGGAAAGTCCTTATTAAGAAGATGTGTTGCAGTGTTGTTAGTGACTCTCTGTGCACCAACAGTATGACCTTCACCTCAGGTGAACTGAGAACTTCCTGATACGGCCTCCCTAACTCCCTGACTCCCAGAATTCTCCTTCATCATCACCAAGCTTCCCCCTCCCTTTCTCCTCTCTCTGTGTTTAAATATGCAACCCAAACTCTACTCTTCATCTTCCTCTCTGTGTGCTCTCTGTGTGACCGACTGAACTTTCTTCAAGAAATGAAATACCACAAAGAGCTGAATGCTTTGACTCTCCATCCGCATTTGATGAATAAATTCCCACCACAATGTAAAACTAAAATTACATCAGATGACCTTTATTCAGACGTTATCGTTTACCATCCATCCATCCATCTTCTCCCGCTTATCCGTGGTCGGGTCGTGGGGGTAGCAGTTCCAGCAGAGAGCCCCAAACTTCCTTTTCCCTGGCGACATCAACCAGCTCTGACTGGGGGATCCCAAGGCGCTCCCAGGCCAGCGAAGAGATATAATCCCTCCACCTGGTCCTAGGTCTACCCCTTGGTCTCTTCCCAGCTGGACGTGCCTGGAACACCTCCCTAGGGAGGCGCCCAGGTGGCATCCTAACTAGGTGCCCGAACCACCTCAACTGGCTCCTTTCGACGCGAAGCAGGAGCGGCTCAACTCCGAGTCCCTCCCGGATGACCGAACTTCTCACCTTATCCCTAAGGGAGACACCAGCCACCCTGCGGAGAAAACCCATCTCGGCCGCTTGTATCCGCGATCTCGTTCTTTCGGTCATGACCCATCCTTCATGACCATAGGTGAGGGTAGGAACGAAAATGGCCCGGTAGACAGAGAGCTTTGCCTTCTGGCTCACCTCCCTTTTCGTCACAACGGTGCGGTAAAGCGACTGCAGTACCGCTCCCGCTGCTCCGATTCTCTGGCTCATCTCACGCTCCATTGTTCCCCCACTCAAGAACAAGACCCCGAGATACTTGAACTCCTTCCCTTGGGGTAAGGACTCATTCCCTACTTGGAGTGGACAGTCCATCGGTTTCCTGCTGAGAACCATGGCCTCAGATTTGAAGGTGCTGATCCTCATCCCAGCCGCTTCACACTCGGTTGCGAACCGATCCAGTGAGTGCTGAAGGTCGCAGACCGATGAAGCCATCAGAACCACATCATTTGCAAAAAGCAGTGGTGCAATCCTTAGTCCACCGAACTGCAGACCCCCTCCCCCATGACTACGCCTCGAAATCCGATCCATGTATATTACAAACAGGATTGGTGACAAAGCGCAGCCCTGGCGGAGGCCAACCCTCACCGGAAATGGGTCCGATTTACTGCCGAAGACCCGGACACAGCTCTCGCTTTGGGAGTACAGAGATTGGATGGCCTTGAGTAGAGACTCCCTCACCCCATACTCCCGCAGCACCCCCCACAGTAACTCCCTGGGAACTCGGTCATACGCCTTCTCCAAGTCTACAAAACACCAGATAAGCGTACTCCCAGGCCCCCTCCAGGATCCTTGCGAGAGTAAAAAGCTGATCCGTCGTTCTACGACCAGGACGGAATCCGCATTGTTCCTCCTCAATCTGAGGTTCGACAATCGGCCTGACCCTCCTTTCGAGTACCTTAGAGTAAACTTTCCCGGGGAGGCTGAGTAGTGTGATGCCTCTGTAATTGGCACACACCCTCTGATCCCCCTTTTTAAAAAGGGGAACCACCACCCCGGTCTGCCACTCCTTCGGTACTGTTTCCAACTTCCACGCAATGTTGACGAGACGTGTCAACCATGACAGTCCCTCAACACCCAGAGCCTTCAGCATTTCTGGGCGGATCTCATCCACCCCCGGGCTTTGCCACTGTGGAGTTGTTTAACGACCTCAGTGACCTCCCCCCGGGAGATTGGTGTTGATCCCCCGTCATACTCCAGCTCTGCCTCTAACATAGAGGGCGGAGTTGTCGGGTTCAGGAGTTCCTCAAAGTGTTCCTTCCAACGCCCTAACACTCCATCAGTTGAGGTCAACAACGTCCCATCCTTACTGTACACAGCTTGGATGGTTCCCTGCTTCCCCCTCCTGAGGTGTCGGACAGTTTTCCAGAACAACTTTGGTGCCGCCCGAAAGTCCTTCTCCATGTCTTCTCCAAACTTCTCCCACACCCGCTGCTTTGCTTCGGCCACGGATGAGGCTGCTGCCCTTCGGGCCCGTCGGTACCTTGCAACTGCTTCGGGAGTCCCCCGGGATAACAAATCCCTGAAGGCCTCCTTCTTCAGTCGTTATCGTTTACTAAATATTAAATACATAGATTTCATTTTAACAACTAACATCTATTATAGTTCCTTTAAGAAACAGTCAACATGTATGTCTGCAGTTCTTACTTCTTACTCTTAACAATGAAATATGAATAAAAGGACATTTATAACTTTATGGGTGTAAGTTATTAATGAATATTAATTAGGTTAAATTACAAAGTGAACATGTGAGATCTCCAGCAGTGACAGAGAGTCAGTGAACTGACCTGAGAGTCTCCAGTCTGCAGTCTGGACTCTCCAGAAGATCTCTCAGCAGCTCCACTCCTGAATCCTGCAGAGCGCTCTTACTCAGGTCCAGAACTCTCAGATGGGAGGGGTTGGACTTCAGAGCTGAGATCAGAGCAGAACAGCTGATCTGTGACAAACAGCAGTTCTCCAGTCTGAATAAAGAAAACATGATGTAACTTTAGAAAACAATGTTCCTGTTTGAAATAACTCCAGGTTTAATAATCTGTTCAGAGTCAAACAGGGTTTTAATGTCAGAGATGATGCAGAAACAATCCACTGATAATCTGGAACTTTAACTTTGATCAGATGTTTAACAACTCCTTCATCTCCCTCACAGCTCCTCAGTACTGACAGCATCTCCACTGACTCCTGGAGCACAGGGTGAGTCTGTGTAAGTTCAAACTCTCTCCCTCACACATTCACCTTCTCTCTGTTACTCTGATCAATATTCAGTCATTAGCAAAAACGGAACAAATAAAAATAACATTGTATTTGTTCAAATTCAGAAAATCATAAACACAAACAGATCAATATGAACTGCAGTCAGTGAACTGACCTGAGAGCCTCCATTCTGCAGTTTGGACTCTTTAGTCCAGAACTCAGACGCTCCACATGTGAATCCTGCAGAGGGTTGAAACTCAGGTCCAGATCTCTCAGATGGGAGGGGTCAGACTTCAGAACTGAGGCCACGACTTCACAGTGAGCCTCTGAGAGGTCACAGTCAGTAAGTCTATAATAAAACATATATTACAACATGTGTTAAAAAAAGAGGGAACATTATATTAACATCAAGCATTTGATGAAAAAAGATTTGGCATGTTCTGATAGACCTTTGCTGTTAGTCCATTTCATATAATATATAATAATATATGATAATAGAGTTGAATGAGTTGTCAGTGTGATCTGATCACATGTCTGTGCTCCTGCTGTCACTGACTGTTACCAAAAGAAACAGAAATTAAACGTGACAATATAAGAGGTATACATATTTAAATGTTAGTTAATATTTGGATGTGAATGATGGATGAGGGATGTTTTGGCTTCTCTGAGCATCTGAACATTTATTGTGCACACAAACACAATTAACAAACCAATAAAGTTTCAATGTGTTCAACTTAATACCATCAGATGTTCCCAGTATATCAGCATCAAGAGATAACTCTGTTATTGGTGGGACATGATATAGATCTGATTTTAAACTGTTAGCCCCCGAGCCTGTTTTTCAGGTCTCAGGCTCGAAAATGACATTCCCAGAACAAATTACTATAACTTCCCTTCTAAAAGGGGTAAATTAATAATCTTTCTTCTCAAAGCAATGATAAACATGTGAGTTGGATGTAGAAAAGTGAGAATCAATATAGAATTCTTTTTAATTTTAAAGTAAATTCAGATTGAACATCGTAAAAAAAAATGTAAATTATAGTGTCCGTCCAAAAAAAAAACATTACTTATAGTGAAAACCACCCCTGAATGATGGGGTCGGAGCAAGCGGCAAACTCTGGGGCAGAGCCGGGACGCCAATACGGAAGCGCCACACACTGCAGTTCATATTTTGGCCGATAGGCAGAGTTGGGTGTAACGCGTTACAAAGTAACATACAAATAATATTACTTTTGTCGGTAACGGAGTAGTGTAACGCGCTACTTTTATAATTCAGTAGTCACTAGTGCTGTAGCGACGCGTCGACGACTTCAAAATATCGTCAACAACATATTTCCGCATCGACGCGTCGCTACACACACGTGGGTCACCCAAAGCAACAAGCAGTTTGCAATCGCACTTCAAACACAATGAAGACTGAAACGGCTACCACCTCCTCCTCACAGGATTGCGCACGAAGCCCCCAAACGAAAACATCTCGCCCTAGGTCTTCAAAAGCATGGGAATATTTTAAAGTTAGTCCAAAACGCAAAGATATTTATATATTTATATCTCACTGAGACTGCTGCATAGCCTAGCAGAAGCAGCAGCTAGCTGTGGTGGCTACCATTAGCAGCTAGCATTTGCTCTCCGATTTTTACATAAAAATGGAATTATGGATTATAAATTCAATAATTTTTTTATACATAGACGTTAAAAACCTATGGATTAACCGATTCAGCCGCGTTTTTTCTCATTTTAATGCCATTGAACACGTCTTTTGATCAGATTGACAGCTACGGTGGTGAGACGATCTCCCTAGAAGCTCTGTGAAGGTACGTGTTGTGATGACTGTATTTGCTTCCCCTGTCGCGAGTCCGGATCACTCAGTGATGATACTATATACCTACATAATCTGTGGAGTCTCAGCTTTAATCGGATATATTGTATGTGCAGCTACGATAAGTAATAAGGGTACTTTTATCTTGAGTTCTGTGCCAATGTCCGTTAGTATTTTTCGCTCAGGGGTCATTTAGATGCTTCTTATGAGACTTGTGTTTTGTTTTGGTAAACATGGTTTGTATCGTCAATTAGCTGAGATTATTTCCGTTAATCTGGTATAACACATTAATAGGTTCTTAAATATTAAGATCCCCTGAGACACAGTATCGTGATTTTTTTTTCTTTTACATTACGTTTTTTTTACATTACGTTTTTTATGAATTGAACAGAAAAATAATCGTTAGATTAGTCGACTAATCGATCAAATAATCGCCCGATTAATGGTTTTCAAAATAATCGTTTCCCCCCAGCACTAGTAGTCACACTACAGTTACTAACATTGCCCCGACATGTGTTACTTCGTTACTTTTATAAAATCAGTCATAATCACATTGACAGACAAGAGGGGTTTCCGCCGCAGGTTTATATGTACGTAATCTGCGGGTCCACATCTCCGCGTGCAGTGCTGCATAAACATGGCTGAGTCAGCGATAACTTTCGAGGGGTGGAGGTATGCGAACCCAGAGTGAGGATGTTGTGAGTGCGCCGCCGGCCCGCCGCCGACTCCGAAGCAGCAAAAATTAGAATTTGGAGGACCGGTAACCAAAGCAGAGATGGACAGGCTTGTTGTGAGGATCTGCAGTACTTCCTCCTTGTTTTTCCCCTGTCTGTGTTTGTTTTGTCTGTTTGTCTATGTGTCTGTCTCCCTGGCTGGGCGTGGCTACCTACATTCCGATTCCCGCCAACTCACCTCCTCAGCTGCTGCTCATCTCACTGATTGCCACTACTCACCTGCACCTGCTTAAAACCCTGGTTCCCATCTTCAGACTTCGCCAGTTCTTCATTTATTCTTCAGTGGTAAACTATCGTCCAGGCCTACTAGTGTTTTTTCCTAGTGACTTTTTGATGCTCCTAGTGAAGGGAGATCATTTCCTAATCCTGCTTGTTTTTCCTGTTCCAGATCCACATACTCCAGCCGCTCTGCCTGCCACGTCCAGCCTCCCCTCCTGAGCAGCCCAGCTCCACGTCTTCCCTCTACGTGTGCTTCGTCAACTCCTTGTCAGTGTCGTGGACAAAATAAAGCCTTTTTGACACTTCACCACAGTCTCAGTTGTAGTGCTTGCATAGCGGGTTCTCATCTCCAGTCACTTCTCGGGAAACCTAACAGAAGAACTGGCCAATAATGAACCCCGCAGGCACTGGAGCGGATCCCGCCACAGTCCATCATGCCCTGTCTAGTCAGGGTTCCCTTCTGGGTCAACACGACCAGCTTATTCGGGCGTTAGTAGAGAGCAATCAATCCATGGCTCATCATGTCTCTGAGTTAGCTTGCCAGATCTCAGCTCTAACTACCTCGGCTGCAGCTTCTCATGCCACTCCCAATCCAGCTATTTTCCCTACTCCACGCCAGGATTTCCCCATCACCAACCCTGAGCCATTCCACGGAGAGGTAGAGAAATGCAGAGGATTTCTTTTTCAGTGCAACAAGGTTTTTCGCCAGTGTCCTGTTTCGTTTGCCGCTGATGTTACCAGGATTTATTACGTTCTGGGTTTGCTCCGTGGCAAGGCTTTAACCTGGGCAGAGGCTTTGAGCTCTTCAATGGATTATGACTCTCTGCGTTTTGAATGCTTCTCAGATCGTTTTTCTGCTGTTTTTGATCATCCCAATTATTCTGGCTCCGCCGAGAGTCAGCTGCTCAGTTTACAACAAGGAAACCGCACTGTAGCTGAGTATTCCATCGAGTTTCACACACTCGCTGCAGAGGCTCGTTGGGACGAGGCAGCTCTCAAGGCGGTGTTTTTGAGAGGATTAAAGTATCAGCTCTGGGATGAATTGGATGCACGAGACGTTCCAGCGGATCTCCCAGATCTGATTTCCTTGGTGTCCCGCCTAGACTGCCGTTTGCGGGAGTGCCGAGCTGAGCGGACACAGGGGAATCCACCAGTCTCACACAGTAAGCCCAGTTTTTCCGCCTACCCTGTCCCCTCAGTGTTTAAGACTCCCTCGGTTTTCTCGCCGCCCAGCGTGCGCACCTCTTCTCACGAGGAGGCTATGCAGCTGGGGCGTGCTAGACTCTCTCCGGAGGAGCGTCAGCGCCGGATGTGTGCTGGCCAATTGTTACGATGACCTCGTAAGAACTCAGATGCTCGATTCCGTTTGCTTGGTAATATTCTTTATTGTAAAGCAACCAAGCTATCCAATAATAACTACTAGGCTCTACTAGGATTCACATCGAATCACTAGGTTCTACTAGGTCTTGTAACATGGTTCTCTGGTAAACAGGCATGGAGATAACGACAAGACAAGACGAACCAACACCAGACAAAGGGAGAGAAGGACTAAATATACACATTAGGTAATGGGGCACAGGTGGACACAATCAGGGGCGGGAACAACAATCAGTCTAGCAGGTGCCACACGGACAGGAAGTGCCGACACCTGGAGAGAGAGAGTAGAGTAATTACCATCAAAAGACAGATAGACAAAACAATAAAACACAACAGCTAACAGGATACTAGCACTAAACCCTTACAGTAATGCATGTATTGTGGCAACGCCGGGCATGTCATTGCCAACTGTCCAGTACGCCCAAACGTGGAGGCTCGTCAGTGAGATTGGGGGTCCTGACGAGTCCACAGCCATCATCTTTACCCCCTTCCTTGAGTCGTTTTCTAATACCTGCCAAAATCTGTGTTAACACTATGATTTTGCCTCTACAAGCCCTCATTGATTCTGGAGCTGAGGATAGTTTTTTGGACCGTGAGCTAGCTGAACAGCTGGGACTCTGTCTGTAGCCTTTAGATGAACCTCTAACAGCCTATGCACTTAATGGGCAAATCATTTCCTCAGTGACAGCACAGTCAGCTCCTTTGACATTGATCACCTCCGGCAACCACAGAGAGCTCATCCAATTAAAGGTAATCTCTGCACCTTCCACACCTCTGAACCCACACATTGATTGGGCTAAGGGAGAGATCATTGAATGGGATCAGAACTGTCTTGCTAACTGCCTGTTATCTGCCATGCCTCCTGTCTCTGTCTCCCCAAACCCTGCCTTCTGCTCTGCCGCTTCTGTAGACTTAACTGGAGTCCCTACGACCTACCACGACCTGAGATTGGTCTAGAGCAAGGAGAGGGCTCTCTCCCTTCCTCCTCACCGGCCCTACGACTGCTCCATAGATCTGTTTCCTGGGGCTCCTCTACCCACCAGCCGCCTCTACAACCTTTCCAGTCCGGAGAAGGAGACTATGGAGCTATATATCACTGACTCAGTGGCTGCTGGGATTATTCGTCCTTCCTCCTCCCCCGTGGGTGCCGGGTTCTTCTTCGTTGGTAAGAAGGATAAGTCACTGCGACCTTGCATTGAC